ATGGCCTACTCCTGCTCCTACATCTTATGTTATGCTATGTTATGTTATTTCAACATGTTGTTGGAAGAAATGCAATGCCAGGTGTCACATTAATAGTAACTACATTGACTTTCTGTTTGATTTTAAAGGTTATACATATAGTCTATAATATGCATGCACATAATGTCCCTAATTTTTAAATTGAGAATTTTATTCCCTTTTGTTCTGTACTACTCCGTTTGGTTCATACACATAAATTCATAGAGTGCCAGCTGTGTATTCAAAACTTCTTCCAGTAGCCCTTCACCCAAAGAAGGTTGGGCTCTAGAGGATAAAGTGCCCTAATGAATTCTACACCCCGAACCTTTGGAACTCCCTCCCTTTACCCCTTATCTCTCCCTATCTCCCCTTAAAACTTACCCAATCAATCATGCTGCGGGTTCCCCCCACCCCCCAATTCCCCCTCTAGACTGCCTGGCGCTGACTCTGTCACTGTAAAGTGCTCCAAGATGTTATCCTGCACAAATGGCTCTATATAAATGCAACTTGTTGTAAAGGAACAGTCGCAATTGTTAGAGAATCCAAATAAGAGATACTCGCTCAAATGGATTATATTGGTTCTTTAATACTCAGAATCCCAATGGGTGAATACACTCAGTTAATTGCCTGCTACACATTTTGTAGCCGACGCAGGCACGGCCATCGACCCAACTATCTACTAGTTACAATCGTACTTGACACATAATTTCTGTGAATACCACGGTCACCGTCCCAACTATCTACTAGTTACGGTCGTACCGGACTCCTAATTTCTGTGAGTATCACGGCCACCGTCCCAACTATTTACTCGTTACGGTCGTACCGGACCCGTAAACCCCGCAACTGCCGAGTGTATTAATACTGAGTATCCTGCCGAATCCAAAATTGTTAGAAAATAAAATCAGCCAAATCTGTAAGGAAATAACGACTAAAGCAACTAAAGTCTAATTCCTTTAACCAGACATCAGACTGTTTTATTATTATTCATTCGTTATTCCCCAATATCCTGATCAGACCAAAGGCCGGTACAATCAATAGATCTTATAACAGAACATTACCACCGTAGATATCTCGAGTTCAACACTGTGTCTTTACAGCACACAAGCTTGATTCTTCATGCTTTCAGTCTTCTTGCTTACAGCTTTCAATCTTCCCTCTGATATCCTCAGTCCTTGTGTTTCCAGCTCTCAGTCTTCCATCTACCGTATCCTTGTCTCCGCCCTGTTCACAAAATTAACGGAACTCTTATACGGATGTTCATCCAATCATGTCTCACATACCACATCAAGTTATCTCAGTCATGTCCAGTTCAGGCGAACACCTCGTGGTGCGTATGTACAGCAGCACACACTTTGTCCTTGGGACCCCCATGTTACGCTGTCCAACCATTCTCTCATTGTTCCGCTTATTTGTTCCGTTTCCTTATCCCCTATGGCAGCTAAGTTTCGTTTTAACCACTTGCCTCCTCTTAACTTGCAGCTGAGACCCCTTACTTTAACACACTATAATTCTATACTTTTATTTTGCGTTCAACTATAGCCTATAACACAATGCACTGGCATATACATAGCAGGTGGTGCAAATTCCTATCTTTGCAGAGTTAGCTGATCTCAGTCAGGGCACCAGCACTGTTGGCCTCAGTGCACCTGGGTTAGGGAGGGGAATATGATCCAGGGTTCCCAGGAGAAAAGAAGGTGAGAGCATCGGTTAAAAGAAAAATCCAGTCAAACAAATCAAAGGCAAAGTATTAATTCTAACCCAACGATGGCTAGGGGGTGAAAATTGCACCCTTTTATATTGCATGCTCACCACAAGCATTGTGAAAGCTGAGGGAGAAGGGTATAGAGGGGTAAACGAGAGGGCAATAGAAAGGGCGAGGGCTTGTATGGAGCACAAACACTTGTACGGACTGGTAGTTTGGCCAAATGGCTTGTTGCTATATCACTCTATATAACTCTATGAAACGTCCCAATGTTCACCCCTTTTGTACCCAAAGTGAAGAGTGCCTTTCAGCACTCATGAGGATTCGGCTCCAGGAATCCATCAGAACAGCAGGGTCCAAAGCAAGTTCAGAATTTACCACCCACATCCCCTGACAAAGGGCAAGTTGTAACAATAGTCCCCAAGTCTTTGTGCCCAGAGGAGTCTCATAGTTTTATGGAGCCCTGTAGGGTTGTCGTTAGAGCGCTCATCTCGCAAGCAAGAGGATCCGGGTTCGATTCCTGGGAATCCCGGCAAAATCTGAGGCAAGTTTCCTTATTCCACACTCCTCTGTTTACCAACCAGTAAGTAGCAACACTGTTGTTAGTCAATTGGTAGATCACTTTCAGGGGATAATAATACCTAATCCATCCCCCAAAATTGGTCACTCAATCCTGTTTGCGGGACACTGCAGTGCGTAATTGGCTGCCGCGTCTCGCCCACAAAATATACAGTCAATCTACTTTACAATATATTCTGTTAAGAGCTTATCACATCATCTCAATTAAGTGATAAGGCGTTATATCAAATACAAGAATTATTATCATTTAAGGAAGCTGTTGGCACAGTGAGTCAGTAAGAGCTCCCATTGAGAGTGAACTCCAGGCTCTCATGTATTGATAGTAAGACTCACAGGATACTATCTGAATCCCTTAAGTAGCTCTGGTTGATATAATAGAATCTACGTTATGACGTATTTTCCTACAGCAAAACGCAGCAGGTCCCTTGGCTATTTCTGCAGTTATTAACAGGCAGAGAGCTCTCTGCTATCCCTTCTCTCTGCAATTGCTGCATAGTGAGTAAGTTATACAAAAGGAAAGGCTTTTGGTGTGTTACTCCGTGCTCTGTGTTTTTATCTGTGCTTGCCAGCTTGTGCAATAGTTGTGCCTGCTTAGCGGGAAAGCGGATTGGTAACCAGTTAGTGCTCTCATGTGGCTGGGTGTTTGAGTGGCCGCCACAGATTGATGATTGCCGTTTTATAGATAATGAAGCACATGAAGGTAGAGTAGTTAGCGTGGAAGACAGTGTTGGGAGGACAGTGCCTCTGATTGCAGCTGCTGTTCACATAAACACAGTAACTACGAGAGAGAAGGGTGTTTTAATAGTATTTGCGGTACGTTCCGCAAAGCCTCAGTTTGGGGGAGCCACTGCCTCGCATGAAACTGATTCATACATAGAAGGTTCTTGGATTCGATCAGAGGTCTGTGCTGAGTTACCTGAAGAATCAATCAGGGCTCCCGCTGTTCAGTGACTGTGATCAGCAAATGTGCAGGCATTGATAGAAAACGGGACTGTGATGCTCTCACAGTAGTGGCCAATTTGGCTGAGGTGCCAAAGCATAAGCCTCACAATGATCGTGTTTTCTCTACATTGAAAGTGCTCAGAAATACATTCACAGTATAGTCCGGGACACTGTGGTGACAGGCTGATAAGGAGCTGGGAGATCTGTGGTCCCAGAGAGGGACAGACACCACAGAAAAAAATTGAGATCAGTCACAGAGACTGGATTGAAGATGGAGAAGTACTATTAGAAAAATAATCCAGAGTGGTAGATGGTCAGTGGTGTCTATAATGTTTAGGGTTAATTAACTCTGTTGGGAGGACATTGCCTCTGTTTGCAGCTGCTTTTTGCATAAGTGCAGTAACTACAAGAGAAATTAGCAACATCACTTACAATGCTGCTCAGAATGTTTTTTCACCAAACATTGCTTATTTTGCTTAGAATAATATGAGGATGGAAGTTCACGTTGAGTGTAAACACTGACAACAACAACAACAAGATTCAATTTATAGAGCGCCTTTCACGTCAGGAGGACGTCCCAAGGCGCTGTACAGTTGGGTCAGGACCCGAGCAAGGGGGAAATGGTCAGGGGGAGGGAAGGGAGGGAGCGAGGAGGGGTAGAGAGTCGAGAGGAGAGCTGAAGGCTCGGTCAAAGAGAAAGGTCTTGAGACCGGCCTTGAAGGAGGAAAGGGAGGAGGCGACTGGGGGATAGAGTTCCAGAGCCTCGGGGCTGAGAGGCTGAAGGCCCGGCCACCGATGGTAGGGCGGTTGGGGTGGGGGATATCGAGCAGACCGGAGCCAGAGGAACGGAGAGTACGGGCAGGTAGGTAGGGGGATCGTAGGTCAGAGAGTTAGGAGGGACATGGACTAGATGGTCCAAATGGCTTCGTGCTGTCTCACCCTGTATCATTCTATGTAAAACAATTCAGGGCATCAGTGTTAATGAGAATGAATCTTTGTTGGGCTGGGAGTACATTTCTTTAGTCAGCCTGACTCAGTTGGAAGCACTCTTGTCCGTAGGTCAGACACTTGTCGGTTCAAGCAAGGGAGGACTTCAACTGCTCACACCTAAATAGAGGTTTCAAGTTTGATTGAAGGGAGTTTTAAAAAGTGGGTGGTTTTCCTAGTCTTGGTGAGCATTGCATTTGATTATAATAGTAATCCTTGCATTTGATATGTTGTTGAGATGTCTCAAAGCACTTCACAGGATTTACTGTAAAGTGGTTGGATTGTGCATTTCGTTGGTGAAACCTTATCTGTAAAATGTTGTGTTCGATTTTTAAATGAAGTTTCCACTGAAAATGTTGCCATGACGTGATCAGGAATGAAAAACTAATAATGCAGTGTCAGGAGGAGGCGGTGCTGGGAGGAAGTGGATCCTGTATGTTTCCGAACGATAAAAGAAGATATGCTAGTCCTTCCCTTCTCAGTCTTATAGAAATATAGGGGGTAGAAATAGTTCAGCAAGTGCTAATTACACCCTGAGAAGAGTGAGCAGTTCTCTTTCAATAGCTCTGTCCCAGCTTCAGGTTACTAAGGAAACCCCAGTCACTCACTCTCCCAGTCTAACTGATCACACCCAAATAGTCTCCGGACAAGTTGTCAGCGACAGGACAACCTGTCAGTGAGGCAAGGCAAGACGCATTGTTTTTTTTTGTTCGCTTCTGTTTCACCTGGAAAGACGATCAACTTATTGTACTGATTTTGCCTTCAGAATCGAGACCCAACTGTGATGTGATCTAACGATGTAAAGGGAAGAGGAGAATGCAATGAAGGTAAATTCCAGCAACAACAGATAAAGACACTTGTAGATAAAGAAACGTCAGCTGAGCTCCCAAGGTTTTCGGGTAAGTCAGACCGTAAATGCCCTATAGTTCAATACATTTTGTTGTACCTTTATTTAGAAATGTTTTTAATGCAATGTGATAATGTTATCTGTGACATATTTTGCCAGTGGAGTCCTGTAGCTCAGTGGTTAGAGTACTCACTTTGCAAGCGAGAGACCTGAGTTCAATTCCAGGCAGGGCGAAACCTTGGGCAAGTTTCCTTACTCCACACAGAGCCTAATAATAATCCCTCCAAAAACCCAAAACAATAATAAATTGGTCATTTTCAATCTACGACTGTTTGTGGGACATTGCTGTGCGCAATTGGCTGCCGTGTTCGCCCACAAATATACAGTCAATTCACTTTACAGTGTGTTCTGTGAAGCGCTTTGGGACGTCCTCCCAACGTGAAAAGCGCTATATCAAATGCAAGGATTATTATTATTACATCAGTGCCAGTAAAAGAATGATAATCCTTGCTTTTGATACAGCACCTTATTGCGCCAAAGTGCTTCACAGACTGTTCTGGAAAGTGTCTGTGTACTTAGAGGTAGACACGGCAGCCAATTTATGCACATCAATATCCTGCAAACAGCTATGAAGTGAAAGATCAATATTATTCAGATGGGGCGCGGGGGGGGGGGGGGGGGGAGAGGGTCATTGATCGGGTTAGCGAGACTCTTTCCCCTAGCAAAACGGGATCATTAAAGACCACTTGCTTAATCCAAAGGACAGCACCTCCAACTTGATCCACAACCTATTGGATTTCCTTTATTAGCACCTGTGACCCTGCTTGGGATTGTTTCCTTCTTGATCGACTGTTTCCCAGACTAGTCTCCACTTTGCTCTTGCTACTCCTGGCAGTTGTCTCCATTTCCTCCACAAGTGATGCGATAACTGGCTATACAGCCTCCAGCACTGGCACATTCTCCGCTGTGCTCGATACACTGGTTTCTCGGCTGCCCTACCATTTGCTTTGTTAGCAAAAACTCACTCTCTCCAAAATACCCATTGCACATTTTGTGGCAATTCAGTTACCTGAGAAATGGAGAAATAAGTCAGTTTAAGCATTCTTTGCATTTAATATAGCTCCTTTCACAACTGGAGGATGTCTCAAAGTGCTTCTCAGGCTATCCAGTAAAGTGTAGGAAATGCATATTTTGTAGGTGAAAGTGGCACCGAATTTGTGCTTACAAACTGATATGAAAGAATGATTAGTTTTATCCAGGGGATTGTTGGCCTGGACACCAGGAGAATCTCCCTTAAAATCCTTCCAGTCAGAATGGCACAAGGTCAATTGTATTTTGATTGAATAATTTATGAAATAATTATGCAATACTGATGCTTTTAAAAAATGGATTCATCACTGTGAATATTTATTAAAGAATCTCTCAGTCAGCTCTCCTGTGTACTTATGCAACATGAAAAATAATAACAACAAATTGTATTTATATAGAGCCTTTCAGGTCAGGATGATGTCCCAAGGTGCTGCACAGTGTAGGGTTTTTCCCCCTCGAGTTGGGGGTTGGAATCAAGAGTGGTGGGAGTCAAGGGAGATGGAGGGTGGAAAGATCACTGAAGGTATGGTAAAAGAGGAAGGTCTTGAGATAGGCCTTGAAGGAGGCAAGGTAGGGGGTGATTTGAAGATATTCCAGGAAGGAGTTCCAGAGGATGGGGGCAGAAAGGCTGAAGGGCTGACCGCCAGTCAGGGCGGGGGACTTGGACAAGGCCAGTACGCGCTGAGGGCAGGTTGGTATAGTAAAAGTTCTAGGTGGGTGGATTGTGTAGGTCATCTGATCCTTTATCCTTTCAAGTCTATAACATATCATTTGAGGGGGTGCTAAGTGTGATCTCCCTAAGGTTCAACTCTTTCCAGGGAAGCGCAATGATACAACCAGGTACATGAGCAGTAATCCAAGACATTGCAGATGGATGTCTTGTACGTACGGCTTATAAATGAGGTTTGCAGGTGTACATCTGTTCGGAACCCTGCAATCCAAAGCCCTAACAGATACAGTCATTAGACAAATAACATGAAGGTTACCAGTGCTTTGTACTAATAGCCAGTGCTGATACTAATACAGTGTGATCAGTGTCATTCACGCCTCCTTTCATTAAGCACAAATGACCAAAATTGTCCCTCACAGCTCTACCGTACATGCATTAATGCAATCACTGTCTCTGTTGTGACATCTCAGAGCTCTAAGATGCTACCCTGTGTGACGGGTGCTATGTAAATGCAAATTGTTGTAAAATAATAATAATCCTTGCATTTGGTATAGCGCCTTATTAGGTCTTCGAGACGTCTCAAAGCGCTTCACAGAATATACTGTAAAGTGAATTGACTGTATATTTTGTGGGTGAAACAAAATTCCACCAAGCCTTTACCAGTGAGACTATCGTTTCAAATCCTAACAACACGTAAAGGTATGAAAAATCCTTAAATTCAATCTTAGTTTAATTGTTAGTTTATTTTCAGAACTGTGTAAAACTGGCTATTACATTTAAGAGTTTTCCACAATTAAACATTGTGGAATAGAGGGGAATGCCAGAGGCTAAGGAGGTGGGATTAGGTTGGGTGGAGTATAAACACCGACATAAACTAGTTGGATCAAAAGGCCTGTGTTGGTGCTGTTGATTCTATGTATCTGTAGGCGAAAGGACATTAGGAATGGAATGGGCACTAGATAGTTCTGTTCTTGCTGATAACGTTTACTATAGCTTTATAATCAGTAACAGGAACCATGCTGTCATTGATACTGTGTATTTATATTTATATTCCTGCAGACATATTCACAATGACAAGACGCTAAACCAGCTCCTTGAGAAGTTACTCAACGTGCAGCATTTTGGACTGATTCCAGCAGGTGCTAGTGGCTGAAGACTTGGTCAGTGTGAGTGGTGCGGAGAGAGCAAAGGATACGCAGCAGGTCTGGGTTTGCCAAGCCGAGGGAGCAAACAGGAGAGTAAGGCTGGAAAGGGTTACAGGAAGTGAGGGCGAGGAATTTAAACATTACATTTAAATATCAGCCTCTTTGCCCCCACCCTCTGGAACTCCATCCCACAGTCCCTCTGTCTCACCCCCTCCCCTGCCTCCTTCAAGACCCATCTCAAGACTCCCTTCTTCGACCGTGGCTTTGGTCACTCTCCTATCCCGACCCTCCCTGCCCTCCACCTCTCTTGATCCCAACCACCAGCTTGGATGTGGATCCCTGACTGTCCAGCGCCTGTGGACGTCCTCCTAATGTGAAAGGCACTATACAAAAGTAATTTGTTGATGTTGTTCCTGTTTCTAAGATCTGGAGTTCAGAGTGTGGAGGATTGTGGCACTAACATACACCCTAAGGCCAAGACATTGGGAATGCCAGTACAAATGTAACACATGTATTTCTTAAACTATAAATTTAGCATTTGATTGGAACTGGAATAGTGTACAGTATTATTCCAGTCATACTGGAACAGTATTTAACATAACATAACATGTAGGAGCAGGAGTAGGCCATTCGGCCCTTCGACCCTGCCCCGCCATTCAATCATGGCTGATCTTCTAATCTAACTGCAGCTAATAACCTGACCCTGCCTTATCCTCATATCCCTTAATCCCTTTTGCAATAAGAAATCTATCTATCTCAGTCTTGAATATGTTCAAGGACTGAGCGTCAACAGCCCTTTGGGGTAGTGAGTTCCATACATTCACCACCCTTTGAGTGAAGAAGTTCTTCCTCAACTCAGTGCAAAAGGGCTGGCCTCTGATTTTAAGGTTGTGAACCCTGGTTTTACTTTCTCCAACCGGGGAAACAATTTCCCACTATCTACGCCATCATATCTTGTAGGTTTCTATAAGATCCCCTCTAATTCTTCTATATTCTAGAGAATATAGGCCCAAATTGGTCAGCCTATCCTTGTAACTCATCCCCTTCATCCCTGATACTAACCTTGTAAATCTACGCTGCACCCCCTCCAAGGCAAGTACATCCTTCCTTAAATAAGGAGACCAAAACTGCACACAGTATTCCAGGTGCGGTCTCACCAGGGCCCTATACAGTTGCAGCAAGACTTCCCTACTCTTATACTCTAATCCTTTCACAATGAATCCTAACATACTGTTCGCCTTCCTAATTGCTGCTGCACCTGCAGACTAACTTTCTGTGATTGGTGTACAAGGACACCCAAGTCCCTCTGGACGCTAACACATTCCAATCTCTCCCCTTCTAAAAAATAACCCGCTCTACTGTTTTTTCTACCTAGGTGGATGACTTCGCACTTCCCTACATTATACTTCATCTGCCACCTACCTGCCCAATCACCTAACCTATCTATGTCTTGCTGCATTTTTTTAATATCGTCCTCTGTGTTGACACTTCCTCCTAGTTTTGTGTCATCTGCGAATTTAGATATATTAGCTTTGATGTCCTCATCTAGATCGTTGATGCAGATGGTAAATAGCTGAAACCAAGGACTGATCCTTGTGGCACTCCACTGGTCACATCCCGCCAATCACTATCTACTCTATCATGGCCTTTGATGATCATATAGGTTTCTATAAGATCCCCTCTAATTCTTCTATGTTCTAGAGAATATAGGCCCAAATTGGTCAGCCTATCCTCGTAACTCATCCCCTTCATTCCTGGTGCTAACCTTGTAAATCTACACTGCACCTCCTCCAAGGCAAGTACATCCTTCCTTAAATAAGGAGACCAAAGCTGCACACAGTATTCCAGGTGTGGTTTCACCAGGGCCCTATACAGTTGCAGCAAGACTTCCCTACTGGTATACTCTAATCCTTTCATAATGAATTTTTGTGTTTAATTCTGCACAGTGTGGGGGTGGGGAAGTTATAACCTCATTGCTGGAGCATAATGTCTTCAGGAAGTTCACCTGCTCCTGTTTATTCATAAAGGATGAAGAGGTATCATCAACCCAGTTGACTACGGATGATTTAACTGCGAGCTGCTCAGAGTTAGAAGCAAAGAGTTCTTTTGGGCAGAGAAACAGGCACCATGTCAACCCAGGAATTCAATCTGGTCCATCGTGTTCAAGTGGGCAGCCGCAGAACTATGTTGACCCTCGACACAGTGAAAAGCCTAAAGAGAAACCCTAGTTTTAGGAGCAGGCTCCTCAATTCAACCAACCTGATTCTCTCACAGCAGGTAAAATCTGCAGCCAAGTGCATTTAGCACACAGAAATATATTCTAAGATATGTACAAGTAGAATAATGGGAAGACTTTTTATTAAATATAATCCTTGCTTTTGATATAGTGCCTTATTATTATTATTATTATCATGTTATCAAGATGTCTCAAAGCGCTTCACATGATATACTTTAAAGTGGTATGACTGTGTGTATTTTACTAGTGGGAATGGACTTCAAGATGAGAAGGATGAGATTTAATGGCTGAAGACCCTTTCTCATCCTTACCTCTACTGTGATCTTTTGAATAGCACACAATCTGCATCAGGATTCATCACCTTGAGGACTTGTGATGATCACTTCAACACTAAGTTGCTTTATCAGTCTCACATTAACTCCAAGATCTATTAGTACTTTAGAGAATACTTCCAGTTGTGCTGTTCTGGATAGCAATGGGAAACAAACACTGTGGTCACCATTGAACAGATGGAGAATATTCCTTTGAAACCAAGTTATTTTAATAGATTTTTTCTCTCTCCTGTTTGCTCTCTTTACAACCAGGATGGCTTCAAGAAATGGATTTATGAAAACCTGATGAAGATGGAATGTGTGTGTTATGTGGAGAACCCTGAGGCATCAGTTGCTGGGTAAGAAAGTGGGGGAATGGATGGCTGGAATACTCCTAACATAATACTAATGAATAAAAAAACTAATAATAAATACTAATAATTCTTGTACAGTATTGATATAGTACCTTGTTACACAGAGAAGGGAGTTTCTCCTGGTGTTCTGGCCAACAATCTCCCAATAAAATTGGTCATTCATTTCATGGTTGCTTGTGACCTGATTTGATGACATTGCTGTATGCAATTGCACTGCCCCAACAATCGCCTTCAATATACACAAGGTCACTCCACTTCACAGTAAATCCTGGGAAGCACTTTGAGATGTCCTCTCGATGTGAAAGTTGTTAAGCAAACTTGTGCAAGGATTATTATAGAATTATCATTATTATTATTATTATTGAGATCTGGTAACAGTGAGAGGAACCAGGCTAAAAAGTGCATCACTGGCTCATGTTTCAGACAAGCAACATGTTAAGCCTAACAATGAGCATAAACAGAGTAAAGCTCTTTCTATTCTGCTCCATCAATATACCTCTGAAGTGCTCAGAGACACTGAGGAAGGGTGCTATATAAATGCGAGTTGTTGTTGTTGTTGTTGTTGTTGTTGCCTTAGCTGCTACTTTAGAAGGGCTTCCCAACTCCACCACTGTGCATTTTTCCATATCCCACACCAAAGATTACCAAATAAGGGACAGCTTTATGTTGTGAGCCAGGGTTAAGATTGGGTTTAATAGTTGGCAGAGTGAGGATTTATAAATTGTGTCTCTATCATCAGAAAGCTGGTGTGTAGCTGTGGTTATCTCAAAGACCATCACAGCGGGGAAGCAATTAGTCATGGCTACAGACAGGAGGGGAACAAGTGGATTTACGAAAGGCATGTCAGGCAAGTTCCAACTGATGCATTTGGTGACATTGTGTTTGAAGGACAGAGGAATGGGAAGGTAAATAAATGATATTAAAAAAAGTTCAATCTCTCTGGCTCTCTGTCTTTCTCCCTTTCTCGCTCTCATCTTTCTCTCTCTGCCTCTTTCTCTCTCTGTCTCTTTCTCTCTCTGTCTTGCTGTCTCTTTCTCTCTCTGTCTTCCCTCTCTTCTCTCTTTCTCTCTGGCTCCTCTCTCTATCTCGCTCTCTCTGGCTCCTCTCTCTCTGGCTTTCCTCTATACTCCTAACAATGTTGTAAGTCTTCACCTTCCCAGTGATTTGTCAGTGTAACAACAGATCCTGACACTAAACTATTTTTTAACAGTAAATATTTGATTGATGTCAGGTAAATGAGTACATTCAGCTTAGACTTTACTCTTTTTCCAGTATGTGCGAGTGTCATCAGGCACTGCTCCAGCCACGTTGTATGAACTTATGACCAAACAATGGGGACTGAATCCTCCACACCTCCTGATCTCTGTCACGGGAGGAGCAAAGAACTTTTACTTGAAACCAAGCCTCCGCAACCTGTTCTGTAGAGGTCTGATCAAGGTTGCTAAATCGACAGGTACCCGCTCAGATCAGCCTTGCATTACTTTCACCTATTTTGACTGTGCGTAAGGTCACCTTCCCATTCTCCCCAGCTCAAACTGCGCCATTGTTAAGTGCTCTGAGGCACAACCCTGGGTGAAGGGCACTGTATAAATGCAAGTTGTTGTTCTACTGTACTAGACTTACTGTGCTGACCTGTTCCTGAGTATTGCTCTTTGCCTGTATTGTGATTTCAGGGGCATGGATTATCACAGGTGGTTCCCACGCTGGAGTGATGAAACATGTTGGAGAGGCTGTTCGACGTTACACAATGACCAGCAGTTCCAAGGAAGGGGAGGTTGTTGCAATTGGTGTAGCAACCTGGGGTATAGTACACAATCGAGAGTGTCTGATTAACAAGGAGGTAATTATTTGCCTAGATAATTATTTGGGGAGGACAAGTTTGCAGTGCTATGGGGAGATCATGGGGGGAGTGGGATTGATTTGGATAGCTCTTTTTAAATAGCTGGCACAGACACGATGGGCTGAATGGCCTCTTTCTGTGCTGTATAATTCTACCATTCTATAGGTAGGTCTAAATGAAGACCCTGTAAAATATATTCCACCGCTTTCCTATTATGTTGGGTATTCTTTGTGCAGGTGTGAAGTTTTAATAAATTACAGATTACAATGATAATAAATGGTCAAAATGATGCAGAGGAGCTACTTGTCAGAGTTGGGGTTGAGCCACACCATTAGAGTGAGGAAGAAGGATTTATACACTGTGTCTAACAAACTGTATCTAACCTAACCTGGAGCTTTTAGTAGCAAACAGTGTACACATCTTCCACTTCCCAGCAGTAGCATTATCCCTCTAGTGATGGCTCTTAATGTCTTAAATATGCATTGTATCGTGATGAAGCCTGGTCTGTTTCAGTGGACGTTGAGGAACAACACTAAGTTCAAGTGAAGGTTATGTGTAAATGCCTCTTATCAACATAATATGATGTAAAGAAGCCGAGAGACCATTTTTTCAGAAATGTTTTTTGTGGGATAGGGAATGTTCCCTGTGGAATACACCTTGGATGAAGAAAACCAGGGGAGGTTATCCTGCCTGGATCATAACCATTCACACTTCATCCTGGTGGACGATGGGACGCACGGGAAGTACGGTGTGGAGATACTGCTGCGATCCAACCTAGAGAAGTACATATCAAAGCAGAGGATGGGCACTGAAGGTAGGACTGAGCCTAGGAGCCCAAGCAATGACTTCATCAGAAGGCTGATGGACTCGAGGTGGTTTTAGGGTGTGGCACATTGGAATTGGAAAGTGCCTCGGAAAGTAAGGCATGGGTTCACACCTACAATCCTCAAAACTCCTGGGTGCAGTGGATAGAGCTGCACCTTACTCTGCAGTTCATATCATGAAAACAGCTTCCAAATAAACCAGTTTCCAAATTAAGTTCAAATTCCTCCAATATTAAGCTTCAAGTCTAGGCCAAGATTGTGAGAAATTCCGGGCTTCAGGAACAGAAACATAGGCATTTCTCATCTCGCCTCCTTCATCTCCGCCCTCCCCTCCCCACCTCCCCCCCCACTCCCATTATGTGAGGTCATATTTCCAAACATCCCAAGCTGGGTGCGGCTGTGGGGGAGAGGGGTGGGGAGCTGAGGAGGGTGGGGGAGGAAGGTGGTCAACAGTATGAGAATCAACTAACTCATCACAAACTAGAGAATCGAACCTAGACCTATCACATTTCACAATGGCCATTGGTTTTTACCAGATGACTTGGTGCAGGTGAGACAGAAAACATTTGAAAAGGCATAAATAATAATAATAATAATCCTTGCATTTGATATAGCGCCTTATCACGTCTTCGAGATGTCTCAAAGCCCTTCACAAAATATACTGCAAAGTGAATTGACTGTATTTTGTGGACCAAACGCGGCAGGCAGCCTATTGTGCAGAGCAATGTCCCACAAACAGTCTTGGATTGAACTGACCAATTTATTATTTTGTTCTGAAGGAATTATTATCCCCTAGAAAAGCGATCCGCCAACACTCATCAAAGCATTTAATCTTCATAATTAATTTTTTAAAAGTTTTCTAAACATCACGATCAGGATGTGCATGACCCTTAAGAGTCGCTGGCTCTTGACAAAATGTCTCTTTTATAGATGTTGGAATCGAGACTCCCATCATATGTGTTGTGCTCGAAGGAGGTGAAGGGACTTTAAATGTAAGTATAGCCATCTGAATGCCATCGTTATGTATGCGTTAAATAGCTGCTTGTACATACTCTATTGGATGCTTCCCTATTGTCACTGTGAAGCACTCTTCCCGTATAAAAGGCACAATAAGTACAAGTTGTCATTGCATATTTCACTGTAAAAGGATGGGCACAATGATGGGGTTGAATGTACATAGTCGTCCTTGAATTTTATGTAGCCCCTTATCACCTCATCGAGACAACAACAACAAATTACATTTGTGTAGTGCCTTTCATGTCAGGAGGACTTCCCAAGGTACTGGAGATGTCTCAATGCGCTTCACAGAATATACTGTAAAGTGAAATGACTGCATACTTTGGGGCGAACCATACAGTCTTAGATGTATATTTAATGGACAGAAGTTGGTCTGTAGGTTCAGCTCCTGAATCACGAGAGCAAAGTTCAGTTGATTTATCTGACTACCGTGACATTCCGTCAATATCTTAAACTGTGTCCTCCATGTCACATGTAGTACATAAAACATTTTTAAGTAAGAAAAGTATTTTAGTTGTGGAAATTATCATACAGTTGAGAGGCAAATTCTAGTTGGACTTTAACGTGTATATAAGTATAAACTGTTCATTGGGACATACCATCCCCATTTTGATCAGCATTGATTGTATATTTTGTGTCAGGCACAGCACATTCACGATAATAATCCTAACCTGTCCAGGTGGATGTTAAAGATCCCGTAGCGCTATTCAAAAAGTAAAGAGACTTTCTCCTGGTGTCCTGGCCAACAATCCCCCAAATAAAATTGGTCACTTACTTCAATGCCTTTGTGTAAAACCTTGTGGAATGAAAATTGTCTTCTGTGTTTTCCTTAAGATACAATCATTGTATTTGCCAGGAATTCCCTTGAAGCACTGTGTGATATTTTATGTACCAGGCTCTGATATCAAATGCAAGGCTTATTATGGGGTATTATTACGGCGAGAAGAGTACACACCCTTGTTCTGATGAGGTGATGCTCATTGTTTCCCTTGCAGACTATACACAGTGCAATGATGAATGGCATGCCGTGTGTCATAGTGGAGGGATCAGGCCGAGCTGCTGACGTCCTTGCTAGCGTGGCCAATCTGCCCGTGTCCCAGATTACCATCTCTCTCATGCAGAAACAGCTCCGCACCTTCTTTTCCGAAACCTTCAACACTTTCTCTGATAGGAGGATAATATCGTGGACCAAAAAGGTACAGAGTGGTGGTGGCTTTGTGTTTGTAAATGAAAAGACTGTGCCTACAAAGCACAGCTATGGGGCGAGGGGGGTGGTGGGGGGTGGGGGCGCGGGACGGAGGGGGCAGAAAAGAGATTAGAGGATGGATTTGTGGCCCTGCATGTCACAAAATAATACCTACAAACAAGGTGTTGTATTTTGAACACAAGACCCTTTTGCTCTCACATTTGATCCCTCCAACAAAATAAATCCTGTCATGCAATCCACCACTGTTTGTTGGGAAACTGCTGTGTGCAATTGGCTGCCGTGTTTCGCTCACAAAATATAGTCAATTCACTTTACACTATATCCTGTGAAGCACTTTGAGACATCTTAATGACCTGATAAGGCGCTATATCGAATGCAAGGATTATTATTCATAAGTAGACGTGGAGTCTCGTGTGTGTATGTGTGTGTGTGTGGGAGGGGGGAGACTTGGAAGAGCATTGGGTGCAAAGTGGAGGAGGGGGAATCACAGACTAGCCACAGACAAAATGCCTCTGATCCTCCAGATGTCCATTAACACCCTCTGAGCACACAGATAAATGGTCTCCTCTCTTACCAAATTCTTTCATGTACTTCTGTGGTGATTGTTTTTATATTATTACATTAGCATTAATTCCCTTCGCTGCTCTCTGCCCCTCTCTCCCCCACATTGATCCTTGTTGTTTAGGTTCAAGACATAGTCAGGATGCATCAGCTGTTGACTGTTTTCAAAGCAGAGAAGGCAAGGAACCAGGAGCTGGATGTGGCTATTCTCCAGGCTTTGTTGAAAGGTAGGCAAGCTGTGGGCACAAGGATCACAGGCAAACAGTAAGCTGTCACGCTTTTGTATCTTTTTCTGGCTACCGCTTTGTTGAATGCATTATCCACTGCCCAGAACTTTTAGTTTGTATGCTTAATAGTGGAGGGAAGAGTCATTCGTAGCCTAGACATTGATGTGCTAACCTGTTGGTAGCTCAGTTGGAAGCACGCTTACCTTTGAATCAGAAAATTGTGGGTTCAAGCACCACATTGGGACTTTGACCTCATGTAGTCTAAGGCTAACATTCCAGTGCAGTGGTAGTGGTGGTGGTGGTGGTGGGTGGGGGGGAAGTGAGGGCAGGGGAGGAGCTGTATTGTCGGAGGTGCGGTCCTTCGAATGAGATGTTAAACCGAGGATGTTAAAGATCCTATGGTACTATTTGAAAAGAGAAGGAAGTTTCTCCTGGTGTCCTGGTCAACAATCCTCCACAATAAATCGGTCATTCACTTCATGGCTGTTTGTGGGACATTGTTGTGTACAAATTGGCTGCTGGGTTCATCTAGAAAAAACATAGTGACTGCACTTTACAATAATTCCTGCAAAGCACTTTGAGACATTTTGAGAACTGTAAAGATTATTATTCTAACCACATATACAATGAGAAGATTGGGAATAAGTTCTTAAGTCCCTTTGTTCAAGTATTCCATTTTCCTTCCTCATCTACCTTGGTCCTTTATTTCTCAGAAGTGCTTTGAGGCTTTCAATTTACGTGGAAGCTGCTGCCTAAATAATATTATCCAAATTTACATTTATATAGTGGCTTTCACTTCGGGAGGATAACAGAGATTTTCAGAATTGGAAGAGGTCAACAGCTAATTTCAGAGTAATCTCTTCTGTTTCACTCAGATAGTGAAAGTTGTTGGGAGGTGGAATGTGCTGCCAAGTAAGGTGTTAGAGATTGAGTCTACTCTGCGTTACAAGAGGGAAATCATCAGAAAGATAGCGGCATGGGGATAAGACAGGGCAGTGGGATTGAATGAATAGCTTGCTCAGAGCTGGTGCAGATGCCACAGGCAAAGTTGCCTCCTTCTGTACTGTAAATTTCTATTTTTAAAAAAATAGATAATCGTAAACCACTCTATCTCTCACACCCTCTGAAATGAAATCTTCGCAAGTAGCCATCAAATTCCCACTGGAATTTATTGTCCTTGATTGTCTATTCCACCCAGGCACCACTCTGTGTGTAAAACAATGTAAACCTGAGCTGTGTATTAACCTTCCCTTATCTGAGCTCAAGTCCACATCTGTTCCCTTGTCTAAGCTGTGGTATGAGGAGCCTCGCTTCACTCGCTGTGAATTGAACTCCACAGTTAAAAATCATCTCCATCTTTGCCTCATCCCAGCCTCGAGCAATGCTAGCCACCTGGGAAAGGAGAACTTGGAGCACCAGCTGAAGCTGGCTGTGGCGTGGGATAGGGTGGACATTGCCAAGAGCGAGATCTTCACTGATAAGAAGCGCTGGAAAGTGAGTCTTGGTTTGTTTATCTGGTGCTGATTTTGTGAAAATACTGCCTTCTTTTCAAGTGCTTTCTCTCTGCTTTTTCTTACCTCTCTCAGTACCGTGCTCCATCACCGGCTTTGTGTAAAGGGCCAACCACTAATAACGGGCAAAAGAACATGGGTTTGGCCAGTAAAACAACTGTAGGTTAGGAGGTTCTGACTGCTAAAGGCATGGGTAATGCTTGCTGGCTCCAAAACCCAGTTGATCATCTGGCCAAGATCAGGTGGTGGTTTTACTGGTTCCTGGAGAACATAAACCCGGCATTTTTTACAGTCTGTAAATGTGCCCACTGAAGGAGGACATACTGCTCCCATTACAGAGTGGGGAAACTTGAAACCTCACCCAGTCCGCACTTGTTGTCTGCAGGCGGTATGCTGCCCCATTATCTGTGGGCCTCCGTTCCAAACCATCAGCACAGACAGAGAGGTGTAGAGAGAGAAAGAGATACAGAGAGAAAGACCACAAGATTGGTTTTGAGAAGAAGGTTCTTCTGCCCATTTGATCTCATCCTTCCAGAACATGCAGCTACTATCTTCTCATTAGATTATTATTACATTATTATTTGTGCGTTCATTTATATTTCATTAGAATAAAAATTGTTAGTGAAAAGCATTTCACAATGATAGGCACACAACTGATTGTACAGATATACTGAAAAATAGAGAGAGAGAGGAAGAGATGTACAGGGAAAAATAGGTGGAATGATTCGGCACAAAACAGGAATTCGATCAGGTAATCTGTGACGGTGAGAAAGAGAAAGAGTCACAATATGCAGAGAGAACAGATGTGTGTATATATAGAGAGAAACAAATGAAGAGAGATATATATAGAGAGTTGCAGAGAGCAATTGAGGGATAGCTATTCAGAGAACGAGAATGCACAGAGACTGAGAGATTCACAGAGAAATAATGAATCCTAGTTGGTTACTGAGGTGAGTAACCCTGCACAAAAACTCAATTATTCTAGTGAGATATTTATCAAATAAAGTGATTTTATTTAGCCCAGGGAACATTGACCAGTAGCACATAATGGGATGTAGTATTGTGTTGGAAAATGCAGCATTGTCACCAGGATTTGCAGGCACTGAACCCTGCAAATAATCAAATGCATGTCACACCAGCCTGCAGGAACTCTGTTCCCAAACATTCTCTTACTCGGACACAGTCCAGCGAGATCCTGTTCGAATCCGGTTGCTATTCCTGTATTTTGGCCCTCGGTATCAAGCTGTATTTATATTGTTAGATGATTTTACTCATGATATTAATCCAGTTGGGTGACTAACCACCCTCTCTATGTCTACCAGTCCTCCAATCTCCACCAGGCAATGTTCGCAGCCCTGGTTGGCAATAAACCTGGCTTTGTTGAGCTTTTCCTCGAGAATGGTGTCAATCTGGGAGAATTTGTCACACCAGAAATACTTGAGCGGCTCTACAACAATGTCCCTCAATCCACCCTCCTTTACAAGAAGCTGCGTAAGGCAGTGGAGGGTGAGAGGAGGCGAGACGCCAGCGATAACGTGGATGCTAAACAGAGGATACTTCTCCATCACGTCTCGGGCATCCTCAGAGAATTGCTTGGGGACTTCACTGAGCCATTCTACGAAAAGCCAAAAGATCATCAGTGTAAAAAACACCTCAGCATCACGCAGCTAACACAACACGTAAGTGGAAAGAACTTGCACTTTTCTTTTCCTAAAGTGCCTCAGTCCTTTGAAATAGCTTAAAGCACTTCATTATTAATTAGTGTCATGTGTAGTTACTGGTTTTGTAAGCTGCCATTTACTTCAGCAATGCCCCACACACAGCCATGAGATGTCTTGATCAGTTTGTCTGGAGGATTGTTGGCCAGGACATCAGCAGAAACACCCTGCTCTTTTTCAATAATGTTCTTTAATGTCCGTTTGAACAGGGAGACAGAATATCGATTTAATGTCTTACCCAAATGACGCTGGCTCTGACAATGGAGTACCACCATTCCACCCCACCCCAACCCACCAGTGCTGTCCTGGAGTGCGAGCCTCTACTGTGAGCTCATGCCCTAACATGGAGTTTGGACCCACAACCTTTTAATCCAGAGAAAAGAGCACGACTGGCTGAGAGGGCTGACAACCTATTTTACTTAGTGCATCGATATAAAAAATTTATAAAGAAGGAAATGAATGAATGAAAATGCAGGGGTGATGCTGTAATATGGAAAACTCTGGCTGGGATTTAGCATTTGTGTGTAAATAGAATTAGTATTGAATGTCTAGTCTTTCTGAAAAGAAATTTCAAACATTCACCACTGGGCAAGTTTGAACAAGACGCCCATTATGAACAGGGAATACACGTGTGAATTGTTCAGTGGCTGGACTAGTCCGAGCCCTAACATTCCCCAGAATTACATTTGTATAAGTGAAAATCCAGACCTTGGTATTAAATATCACAAAGCGTGAGGTGTAAAGATGCTGGCAAAGGTAGACATTAGTGAAGAGAAATTCCACCTGGGTTTAGATTTACTCTGTTTGTTCCACATTATTAGAGCATCCGGTATTTGGTAAATTGTTGAATTCGGTCTTAACTTTGTAGTTGTGTTTCTTAAAAGTCCTTCTTGAAAGAAACTAACAGAAAACCGGCTTCAAAATACACAAGAATAAATCCAGATAGAATTTCTCCCCACAAATCACTGTATACAGCCCACATTCACCTCCACGGTCACCGACAGTCTGTAGGATTAAATAACAGACCCTGAAGTGTGGGATGGCAGCAGTGATATTTGGGAGCCCATCACCTTAGTTGAGAACCTATTGGTGTATCAGATGGAGGCCTGTTGCTACCATTTAACCTTGTCAACGATTCAGTGATGTGGATCATTCAGTGTTTTGCCCCATTCAATGTTGTGCATGTTCACACCAGACATGTGACGGGTCAACTGCACGTAATACTCACAGTCGTGTCGCAGATCGTGTTTCAACTAAATTAAATCGTGTGAGGTGCTTTGAGACGAATTTTGATGAAGTTAAAAGGTGCAATATCAAATGCATGGATTATTACTGTTATTCAATTGCAAACTAATTTTGCTCTGTGTAGATTCTGCCAATATCTCATCCAGAGCTGAAGCACAGTGACTCACAAGAGTCCGAAATATGTGATGATGTTGAGCAGGAATTTGAAGAACCCGCACGTGATCTCTTTCTCTGGGCAATACTACAGAAGAGGAAAATGCTGGCGAATATCCTATGGGTGCAGGTAAGGTGACGGGCAATAGGTATTCCACAGCCATGACTTTGCCCATTTATCCTATTCTCTCCACAACTTCCCTTTATTTTACATAGAGTTGGACTTCAGCACACAGAGAGCAGGACAGGAAGGTTTGTTGGGGAAGATCCTCTGGCAGGACAGACCTGTCCTTTTATTTTGTGTCCGCAAATTCACTTTGCTCTAGATTAACCCTCATCTTAAATATGTCTGAAATCTCATTTTTGATGACAATAACACTAATTCTCGCTTTTGATACAGCGCCTTATCACTTTGTCAAATAGTCTCAAAGTGCTTCACAGGATTTGATGTAAAGTATAGCCACTGTGTATTTGTTTAGGCAAAGGCAGCAACCAATTTTCATACAACATCCCATAAGCAGTGCAATGTCCCATAAGCAATCTTGAAGTGAATGACTAATTTAATTTGGGGGATTGCTGGCCAGGACACCAGGATAGATTCCCTTCTATTTTCGAATAGTGCCATGGGATCTTTAACATCCACCTGATCAGGCAGACAGGACCTCAGCTTAACATCTCATCCAAAGGACAAATGTTGCCAGAAGAGCGAGCGGCCAGCCTGCTGCTCCTTGTCTTCTGGCCTTTGATTAGCTACTAGGAAACTTTAAGTACTGCCCAGTGAATCTTTGAGATGTTGTTTGAGGTGAAAGATGTTATATAAATGCAAGTTCTTGCTGTCCCTTAATGGTGTATACAAATATAATTTGTTGCTGTTGCTCCAGCATGGCATGGTGTGCCAGCGTACTGCCACCTTTTGGCCACAGCCTGCACAATGTTGGCATCACCATTTAGACCCCTTTTCTTCACATGGCTCTCCAACGCCGTCCCATTACACTGACTCCTTCTGGTCACATGGCTCTGCATTGGATGTAGTGAATGCTGCCTAACGATGGCAGAATAACAATAATAATCCTTGCATTTGATATAGCGCTTTTCACGTCTTCTCGATGTCTCAAAGCACTTCACAGAATAGACTGTAAAGTGAATTGACTGTATATTTGTGGGTGAAACGCGGCAGCCAAATGCGCACAGCAATGTCCCACAAACAGTCGTGTACTGAGTGACCAATTTATTTATGTATTCATTTATTTTTTTCTTGAGGGATTATTATCAGGTGTGTGAAGTAAGGAAACTTGCCCAAGGTTTCGCACTGCCGAGAATTGAACCCAGGTCTCTCGCTTGCAAGGCGAGTGCTCTAACCACTGAGCTACAGGACTCCACGATGTAATGTTGGATTGCATATTAATAATAATCCTTACATTTGATATTATGCCTTATCAAGTCGTCGCGACGTCTCAAAGTGCTTCGCAGAATATACTGTAAAGTGTTTGACTATGCATTTGTGGGCGAAATTCTCTTGTTTGGCACCTGACCCCGCCACTGTGAAGTGCTCGAATGTATTATCTTATTTGAAGGGTGCAATATAAGTGCAAGTTGTTGTTGTATTCCAGAGCTCAGACAGCATTGCTTCTGCGCTCGTTGCCACCAAGATCCTGAAAAAACTGTCCTCTGAAGCAAACGACACCGACCTCTCTGAGGCAATGGAAGAGCTGGCTCAGGAATACGAGGATCGAGCCATTGGTATGTTGGGGTATTATTACTCACCGGGCAGGAAGGCTCAGGCAGTAACTCTTATCAGAACGTACGTCACACTGAGCTGTGGAAACAACTCTGTCACAACTGCTATTTTATAAAAAAATTACTTTAATTAATTAAAATTTATCTTATTTATTTTAATGGTTTGAATTGTGCTGAGTTTGTTGGTATCAGCTGGGGTTACATCTGGAGGCTAAATTGGCTTCAGTCTGCCCTGGGGTTAAGGGGGAGATAACCAGCCCGAGGTTCTTGCTCCATAGGAATAGTCTCCAACCAGTCGATCGCCACTAGGTGGTGTCTTGCACATGGTCAATAAAAATAAGAGGCAAGAGCAATATTTACCACAGTTTTAACATTAAAGTTTATATTTTCATATCCAGGTGCATGAAATGCTTTGGGCACCTGGCTTCGTTTTCAATTTGACTCAATAGGGACCCCTCCTTCCTCTTGTCTTTTTGATTGTGCGCCACAGCACCAACTAGTGGCAATCGACCAGTTGGAGACCTCTGCTTTATGGCGTCCTCTCGTGTATGATAATAATCCTATAATTTGATATAGCTTCTTATCACGGTGTTGAGATGTCACAAAGCGATTCATAGGAGATACACTGTATATTTTGTGGGTGAAATTACCTTGATTTGTCACACCTTGAATGTAACTGTTTGTTTATAAAGGCGTGTTCACAGAGTGCTACAGGAAGGACCCCAAGCGGGCACAGAAACTGCTGATTCGAGTCTCCAATGCCTGGGGAAACACCACCTGCTTGCGTCTGGCCATTGAAGGGGACGACCAGAACTTCATGGCACAAGGTGGCGTCCAGGTGTGATGACACTGTGGTTTGCTGCCCTCTTGTTTCTCCCGTGCTATGTCTGAGATGTACCATTAATGCTGGGTAAACTCTGCTTTCTGCCAGACACCTGTGGGTAGAAATTCCACCTGGTCTGGATTTACTCTTATTAACGTAGCGTTTATCCTCATTAATGTAACTCTTCATAGCTACAGTATTTGATTAATCGAAAGGATTTCCAATATCTATATGTGGTAAAGGAGGTTACTGCTTTTAGTGATCAGCTAAAGACAGACACATTAACTGGATAATGTGTTCTCAGTGAGAGGCCACTTGAAGCTTGTAGGTTTGGTGCCATCTTACATGCCAGTCTGCCTGCTGGTTGCTTTCAGGAGTTTCTGAACTTTGACTCTGTTTAATACAGTATTGAGAGAAATGATCGTTAATTAATAAAAATAATAATAATAATAATAATCCTTGCGTTTGATATAGCGCTTTTCATGTCGGGAGGATGTCCCAAAGCGCTTCACAGAACACACTGTAAAGTGAATTGACTGTATATTTTTTGTGGGCGAACGCAGCAGCCAATTGCGCACAGCAATGTCCCACAAACAGTCGTAGATTGAAAATGACCAATTTATTATTGTTTTTGGTTTTGGAGGGATTATTATTAGGCGTGTGGAGTAAGGAAACTTGCCCAAGGTTTCGCCCTGCCTGGAATTGAACTCAGGTCTCTCACTTGCAAAGCGAGTGCTCTAACCACTGAGCTACAGGACTCCACTAATAATCTCCTTTACTCTTTCTTGCAGAGCTTCCTGACCAAAATCTGGTGGGGTGATATTTCGGTGGACACCCAGACCTGGCAGGTATTGCTCTGCATGGTGCTGTGGCCAATTATCCACTCAAATTTCATCAGTTTCAGGTACTTTTGTTTCAATATTTCTGTCTTATTTATCTTTTGAGTAATTTTATATCTGTATTTTTTTCCCCTAAGCATTCCTATCACAAACACCTCCCGGGTTTAGAAGCCGTTAGGGTGTGTAGATGTGCAGAATTGTCTCCTTATGGAGAAACCCCGAGCCAATCCCTACCATAGACATACCATCATTATTGTTGTTACAAATCTTTTTCAGTGATCGGGTTATGTGTTTTGACAAGTATGTTTTATTAGCTTTCAAAACCACACTATCCCCGTACTTTTTTTTTCTGTGTACGGAACGCTGTAAAATGGTCAAACTTCACACATGCTGAAACCGTTTGGCTGAAGGAACAGCCTAATGGGATATGTTAGTTTGCTGCCCAGTTCTCTCATTCAATGCACAAGATGCACTTCTCATTGCAGACAGGATGAAGAAATCAGAATGAAAAAGGCTTCAAAGGTGGACAGCTCCTCAGATATCAGCCAGAGTCCGTCTCTCAGTGAGGATCTGCAGTCAACAAAGCAAAAACCAAAATCAATTTCACGGTAGGTATTTAACGGTTTTCTTTCCACCCCCATACAACATAGACAGAGAAACTGTAACCTTATCCTAAACTCGTCCCATACAGAAATCCTAGCCTAATCCATAGAGAACCTCCCAGCCTAAACCTAAACCTATCCCATAGCAAGTTAATGTCACCCTAGACTATAGAAAAGTAGTAGCCCAACTTCATCTCATGGAAAAAAATATACCCTGATCCTAACCTTAATACTACTTCACAGGGAAACATCAGTCCAGCCCTAACCTTTGATCCAAACCCATCTCGTAGAGAAACTGCAGCTTCTACAATGCATGTTCATGATTGTGGACCTGAATAGCACAATCCTGGGGTGAATGTTGTCATTTCATCTTTCTGAGTGATAAAGCACCAACACATAACAGAATTTCGGGCCTGATGTCACTGATCCATGCTGGCATGTTTTGTTGACTTGCTGACTCTGTTTTTATATTACTATTTCAGGACAATACTGATGCCAACTGTCAAGGAAGAGGACCTGAAGCCTTTATCTTGTTGCGAGAGGCTGAGAGCCTTCTATACTGCCCCAGTAGTCGTCTTTTATTGGAACGTGCTGGCTTATTTTGGTTTCCTTTGGCTTTTCTCATATGTTCTGCTGATTGATTTCCAAAGCCAACCTTCTGGGCGGGAATATTTTCTTTACTTGTGGCTTTTTACTCTGGTGTGTGAGGAAATTCGGCAGGTGAGGGCTAACCCACTGCAATGCATGTCGATTACAGATGTAGAAACGTTTTGGGTCTGTTGTTGGATTTTTTTTATTGGGTTTGTAGGTAAATCTCTTATTGGCTGTAAAGTTGGATCTTGGAGTAATAATATGATAATAATCCTTGCGTTTCATACTCTTCGGTTGAGACGTTAAACCGAGGTCCCATCTCTGCCTGTTCAAATGGATGTTAAAGATTCCATAGCGCTATTGTAAAAGAGAAGGCGGTTTCTCCCGGTGTCCTGACCAACAATCTCCCTAAAATAAAAATTGGCCACTCACTCCACCGCTGTTTGTTAGACATTGCTGTGCGTAACTGGCAGCTGCATTTCACCCACAATATACACAGTCAATCTACTTTACAGTATATCCTGTGAAGCTCTCAGAGACATCTCAACGATGTGAGAAGGTGCTGTATCAAACGCAAGGATTATTATTATTATATAGTGCCTTATCACTGTTGGATCTGTGGTTAAAAGGAGAGGTGGAAAGATTGGCAAGCTGTTCAAGAAACTTACTAATGTATTGTGAATCTGGGAAGTGGGTAGGGCAGTGCATTAGAGAATATACATTTACGTCTGCGACCTAGCTTTGAATGGTGAAGATGAAGAGGTCATTTTCTTTCTGTTAGTTTCACAAAATTAACCTGCATGAAGTTTATGGTGACTTGCAGTATTTAACTACCCTTATTTCACAATCAAATGGCTATTACACAGCAACCTCACTCAGAGAGTTAGTGTGTGAAATGGTAAAAGGGCACACTGGGCCATGCTGAGTTCAGGGCTGGGGGGAACTGGAAAGGACCACCGAACCAGACCTTAACTCTGATACCGGGTGGTGAAAAGGTGGAAATATTCTATTTCCCAAAGCTGAAATTCCTTACAAAATTATTTTGTAAGGAAAAATTATTTTGTAAGGAGCAAAAGTTTCATACAGAAGTTTATTTTTCACAAAAATGTTCTTCCAACTGTCACCGCGGAACCTCAAAATGGCATCTTTAATATGCCATTTTCCCCGATGGTGAAACTCTTCTCATGATAAGCTTTATGATTCCATGTGCAGCTATTCTCTAACCCAGATGATTTGGGATTTTGGAAAAAGGCCATTCTGTACTTCAGTGACATATGGAATAAACTGGATGTTGCGGCCATTCTGGTATTTTTGGTTGGACTAGCTTGCAGGTGAGCTAACCTTTCCACTTCTAACAAGCTTGTGCTTTAAACTGAGAAATTCCTTAAATATCAGATATGGAGAAGTCGGAATGGCAAATGGCAGAATTTTCCTTCCACCAACCCCCCCCCCCCCCCCCGCCCCGCAAGGTTCTCAATTCTGTTGTCCATGAAGCCAGGTCTTGCATTGCATTGTATTTATCCTCTGGCTTATGACTTTGACTGACTATCAGGTTTGCCAACAACAACAACAACAATAACAACAAGATTGCATTTATAGAGCGCCTTTCATGTAGGTTAACAACAACAAATTACATTTGTATAATGCCTTTCACGTCAGGAGGCGTTGGACAATCAGGGATCCGCACTCGAGCTGGTGGTTGGGATCAGGAGGAGTGGAGGACGGGGAGGGTGGGGGTAGGAGGGTGACTGAAGGCACAGTCGAAGAGGATGGTCTTGAGATGGGTCTTGAGACTGCTGTCCTGACAAAATGTCTGTCAGACATTGAGTCCTGATGAGAGCTTACTTTCTACAATTGAATGTCAAATGTTGTTGTTGAAGGAGGCAATGTCTTGGAGTCCTTGACAGTGGCGAGATTGGATTCTGAGGAGGGGGGAGATGACAGTTGTTATGATCAGAGAGGCAGGTTTTAAGGTAGGATTTGAAGGGAGACACAGGGAAGCCTGGTGACTGAAGATGCTCACTACCTGTGATCACTATCCACAGTCCATGAGCTGGAAAACAAGAGGACATCCCAGGTTCCTGGACATTGGCAATTAGCACGGTATTGGAGAGATGTGGGCTGCCACGAGCAGAACACCTGCTTCAGGGATTTGTACATTTAAACCCAATCTAGAGTTTAAGGAATTAAAACATCTTTTTTAAACAAATCATATTTTGTTTTTTTCTTTCCACAAATTGTCTCACCTCGTACCCTAACTCAGTCTAGGGTACATTTCAATGGGTGCCTTATGGTATCTCGTCCCAGTATCTACTAAGCGGTGGCAGTATGATAGACCCTCATCTGACCCTTGGCACATGTACTGTCCAGCAGTGATCATGAGGTGAAAGAAGCCTTTTGGCCATTTGATCTCATCCGTCCAGAACACCCACCCCACTGTCCTCCCATTATAATATTGAGCCTAGCCTTCAGTGACCTTATTTGTCCAAACCTCTCTAGTGATCTCCTTTATATTCTCTTTTCCTCTGAAGTCTACTTGCAATCTTTTCTCCAGGAAATGTATGCAAGTTAATTCCTAATGCCAAATCCTGCTCCCTGCTATGACTCAATTATTCAGCTGTGCAAGAATTGCTTTCGGTAACATCTATAACTGTTTAAATAACGGCTTCTGAACCATTCCACGTGTAGGTGGATTTCTGAAACTTTCTACTACGGCAGAATAATTCTGTGTCTGGACTTCATCATCTACTGCTTTCGAGTCATGCACATCTTTGCTGTGAACAAAACCCTTGGACCCAAAATCATTATGGTGAAACGAATGGTAGGGGTAGCAGTATGTGTGCATCCATGTGTGCATGTGTGGGTGTGAGATAGCAATAACTGTATGAGTGTGTCATACATGTTTGTGTGTGTGTGTGTGTATGTGTGACACGCATATGTGTGCCAATGAAGCCATTAAAAGAAGTTATAGAAAACAGGTAACTTCAAAATTAAAACTGAATTTAAGAATTTGCAAAATTCTGGACACGTAAATATTGTGTTGATAGAGCAAATCTGGACTCGGGTAGATTTTCTCCCCACTGAGTCTAAAGTTGCTCTTTTTTTTCCCCCCTGTACAGATGAAGGACATTTTCTTCTTTCTCTTCCTGCTGGCTTTGTCCATCGTAGCATTTGGTGTTGCGAAACAAGGCATCCTCATTCACAATGAGGATCGCCTGGACTGGATATTCCAGGGAGTTGTCTACCACCCGTACCGTATGATCTTTGGAGAGATTCCCATTGACGTTGGCTGTACGTTTTCAGTCACTGTGGGTTTGTGAAGTGACCTCGGTCTGCATTAAAACAAATCAGTAAATGTCGGTGCTTATCAGTATGGGGGATATGTGCACTGGGAAATTGAATGGTTTAGTCTTAGCCTGTAAGACTATTTTGTCTTAAAATTGAAGATCCTGCCAAATTGGGGAAAATTCTATAGAATCCCAGAATGTTATAGCACAGAAATATGCCATTTTGCTCATCATGCAACTGCTTGTGGTTTTCTCTGGATGAGCCAACTGATCTAATCCCCATGCCTTTAATATCCTTTTTAAACTACCTGCCTCAATCCCTTCATCTTGCCCCTTCTTTATCTATCTTTAAACTCCACCTGACGACCTCTGTCTTCCACTGGCCACCTCCCCCTTCTCCCTTGCTTGGTATGTGATGCTATCTCACATGAAAAGCCCTCATTAAAAGTAAGTTGTAGTTGTTGTTGAACATCTATCCAAATGGAGTTCTGTCGTTTGATTCCCGGCAGGGTTGGAATGTTGGGCAAGTTTCCTTACACCACACACCTCTGTTTATCTAACAGTAAGTAGGAACCTGGTCATTAGTCAATTGGCAGATCACTTTTCTGGTGGTAATAACTCCTTCAAATTTTTTAAAAAAATAGTAAATTGGTCACTTAATCCACGCATGTTTATGGGACACTGCTCTGCGCAATTGGCTGCCATCTTTCACCCACAAATATACAGACAATTCACTTTACAGTATATTCCATGATCATTTTGAGAGGTCTCGAAGATGCGATAAGGCACTGTATCAAATGCAATTATTATTATTATTATTATTCCTTTTTATAAGAATTTGCACACTGTGTGAAATGGAACATTTGCCCACCTGTTGCACTGTAAAGCTGCACAAAATAACCAGCCAGAAAGTTCAGCAAAAATTGTGATGGGGGGAATTTTTGGCTTTTATTTTTAACAAGCATTGGAACAATATGTTCAGATGCAGAACACCAAGGCAATAGTTCAGGAGGGCACAGGTTTAGAGTTGTGAAGGGCAATTTTAGGACAGATTCTAGGAAGTATATCTTTCCACTAAACTACTCTTAACTTGTAAAGGTATGAGGAAAGGGCAGGTAAATGATATTGGAACGATTGCTCTTGAAAGAGACAGCACAGACACGATGGGCCAAATGGGCTTCTTCTGTGTTGTAAATTTCAATGGTACACACAGAGAAGAGGTCACCAGGAAGCGTGGTTGATACCAGAATTTAGTTGAGAAAAATCTTGATGTCACAATGGGAAGACGGTTTTGTAAGGATTAGATCAAATGGGCCAAAGTGTCTTCTTTATCCAAATCCTCTCTTGTGACTGTAGGTAAAGAGATGTGTAAATGATTCTATGATGAGAGTGACTGCTCTGTGATAAAAACACTTCTTATAATGCAGTAATTCTCAACAACTTTTTTTCCTTCATAAAGTTTCGGGCTTTGACCTGAATCAGTGCACTTTGACCGGAAGTGACCCTTACAAGCCAAAGTGCCCCGAACATGACAGTAACAATAATCCCATCTTCCCTGAATGGATAACTGTGATCCTCCTGTGTATCTATCTGCTTTTCACCAACATTCTGCTGCTTAATCTGCTGATCGCAATGTTTAAGTAAGTGCCCAGGACCCTGATTTTGATGTGGTTGTTATTTGAAAGTCCCACGAGAGATGTTTGTTTCACGTTCTTCCCAAATGTCAGTACATCTAGACTGACGCTCCAATGCAGTGCTGGGGGTGCCATCCTTCTGATGAGATTTCAAACCGAGGTCCCATCTGCCTGTTCAAGTAGACGTTAAAGATCCCATGGTTACTTTTAGAAAAGAGAAGGAAGTTTCTCCTGATGTTCTGCCCAACAATCCCTCAAATAAAATTCATAACATTTGGGGGACATTGCTGTGCGCAAGCTAGCTGCTGCATTGCCTATGTAATGCACAGTCACTACACATCCTGTGAAGTGCTTTGAGCGGTCTTCCTGATGTGAAAGGCACAAGGTTTATTGTAATTTTTTATCAGGAGACAGTAGCTTTCAGTGTAATAAATGTTTCACCTGAGCAGATTGAAGCAATCATATAAGATTACATTCCACGCTTTTAAATAAAATAACTTGCACTCTTGCACTGTGCCTTTTGCAGAATGACACCATAGAAGCAGGTCACTGATTCACCTCGTTGCACATTATTATTATTATTAGAGTAAGTTAGCATTGCTTTGGAGCTTGAGGCAAGCCATGTCTGTAATTTTGTCTGTAATTGCACAGTTGATGCAATGCTACCCTTCTTTTCCCTCAGCTACACCTTTCAACTGGTGCAGGAAAACACCGATAAGATCTGGAAGTTCCAGCGATGCCACCTTATTGAGGAGTACCACAGTCGGCCCTCGGCACCGCCCCCCTTCATCATTCTCAGCCACATCATCTTGTTTGTTCAATGCATCATCATAAGGAGGCCCCCGCAGATTCGCAAGAAGCTCAGTATGTCCTCACTCTTACCGGATGCCTCACTATTTCCCAGACACTAATGGGATTTCCCTTATAGTCATGCATTGACATAATGTGTAACACTGAATGGAATTTTTATCCCGTGCTTTCATTCTTGAAACAATGTAATACCCCAACCATCGTCTCATGTAATCATGAGGTGTAGCGTTCCTGACACATGCAGACACCCATCACCGTGCTCAAGAGCATCCAAACCAAACTGAGAGTTCCAAGCCTGCCATTTACCAAATTCCAGAGAATATCTAGGCGTAGATTGGTAAATGGCAAGATGTGGGGAAGTAAATGCTGGAGTTTAACCATCTAAAAATACACAGCTCGCCATTGAGAGCACTATCTGGCAAGCTTCCAGCTGGCAACAACCTATCAGGGCTTTGGTTTGCAAGGTTAATAGGCGTAGGAGGATTCCTTGCCCCCAGTGACCAGTCTGCCCGTGCAGGTCTTGCTGATGAGTTAACCTGGCTGTTCTGTCATCAGCCATGTCCTGGGTTAAGGCACATTTATTGTGGAAAATTCTTTCATTCAGTCTTAACTTGCAAGTTGTTTTTCACATTCTTAAATCGAATTTTACATAGAACGCTGCAATACGGAAATAGCCTATCTAAGGCATGAATCTCCATCCTTCCTCAAACCCCTCTCCCTTGTCCCTCTATTCCCCTCCCCTTACATATGGATAATTTAAGAATTTCCAATTGCTCGGTTTTCCTGGCGCTCTTATAGCTCCGTTTTCAGTAAAAATCCCGACTGGATGCTCAGTTCTGAGACTCGAGGTGGACCTAATAAAGCCTTTTTTTCCCTTCTGCCTTCCTTCCCGTAGAGAAAAGGCTGGAAGAAGAAGAGGACTTTGCGCTTTTGTTGTGGGAGGGCATAATGAAGGAGAATTACCTGGCTAAGAGCATCCACAAGATGGGCCAGAGCACCGAGCAGCAGATCAGGAGCACCGCCGACAAGTGCGTAACTGTCGGTAAAGGCTTTGTGACTCGCTGACTATAGATTGTCCTGCAGCTCAGGACCACAGTACTATGTACCCTACCAACCCAGACACTCCCTTTGCTCAGCAAGCACTGGCCTGCTTCATAGCCCTCTCTGCCCACCCCACTATCGGCTCACACTCTCTGGAACTCCATCCCATCTCAAGACCTACCACGTTGACTGCATTCTTGGTCATCTTTCCCCTCCCCCCCCCCCCCCCACCCACCCTTGGCTCGCGCCCTCAGCTCAGGTGCCCAGCCTGCACTATTTATCACTTTGGGATGTGATCCTGACATGAAAGGTGCTATATAAATTTGCCTTGTACAATAGCATTTTACACTAAAATAGGAAGCTCTTTACATGACAATGGATCCACCCTGCCCTGATGGCTGGATATATTAGTCTTTTCATTATGTATTTATAGAGGTGAGCCTATCGTAGACCTCAGAGTTATAATTGGATGGATATTTTGACTTGTTCCGGTAAATAGGTTAGTGTATAGTGTGCTGGGGGAGTGTTGCATTATCAGAGATGTTCTTCGGATGAGGCATTTNAAAAAAAATCCTTGCATTTGATATAGCGCTTTTCACGCCTTCTAGATGTCTCAAAGCGCTTCACAGAATGTACTGTAAAGTGAATTGACTCTATATTTATGGGTGAAATGCAGCAGCCAATCGCGCACAGCAATATCCACAGACAGTCGTGGATTGAAGTGACCAATTTATTATTGTTTTTTTTCTTGAGGGATTATTATCAGGCGTTGGAGTAAGGAAACTTGCTCAAGGTTTCTCGTCCTGCTGGGAATAGAACCCAGGTCTCTCACTTGCGAGGCGAGTGCTCTAACCACTGAGCTACAGGACTCCACGTTAAACCAAGGTTCTGTCTGCACTTGTTCAGGTGAACCTTAAAGATCTTATGTCACCATTTGAAAAGGGAAGGAGTTTCTCCCAGTGTTCTGGCCAACAATGTTCCAGATAAGAATCAGTCATTTCCCACTTCTGTGTGAAGTTGGCGTGTGCAAATTGGCAGCCATGTTCGCCTACAAAATACACATCCATTACACATTATAGTAAAAGTCTGTGAAGTGCTTTGAGACGTCTTCCTGACATGAAAGGTGCCCCATGCCCTATTCTCTATCAAATGCAAGTATTATTGATGGATGGATGGATGGATGGATTGGTGGGTGGGTGGGTGGGTGGGTGGGTGGGATGGATGGAGGGATGGTCTGGATGGGATGGATGGTCTGGATGGATGGATGGTCTGGATGTACACTATATGTTTCATAGAGTGCTGCTCCATATGTTTTGTAGGATAGATACTGTGACTGAGATTCTGGACATGACCAAGGAAGGGAGCAAGGCCGGTCCAGTAGATCAGCGGATGTCTCACCTTGAAGAACAGGTTCCAATGATTTTTTTCAGTGTTTTTTTGTCATCGCTTTCCCTTTTTTTTGCCTCCTCCCTGAGTAGCCGGCCCTCTGCACACACTGAGGGAAGCAGGAAGCTCATGCTCTGTCCTTCTGTAAACCTAACTGTTCCACTGCCCATTATTTTCTCTTCTTCCCCTTGGAGATGATGCCTACGATGTGTGTGTGACCTTCTGTAAGAACACAGAGCCCCAGCACTGCACTGGAGCCGTCACAACAATACTGATTCAGAAAGGGCATAGTTATGGTTAATGCAGAGGTGTAAAGCCCACATTGGTCCAGGAGGGTTCTCTGTTGAGGTTGGAATTGAGACATGTTGGTGAGAGGTTTCCCCTTTGGTCATTGTGCCATTAAGCAAGAAATCCACCTGAGTAACTAACACAGAGTATCTGCTCCCACACAAGGCCAATATAAAAGTTATTACTGATGAGGTCTATGGGGTTAGTTCTACTTTTGTAAATGGTTAGAACTATGCTGTACAAGCATTTGCGCTCTCAGTGCCCTCACCGAGCCAGTGTCTACCATAAATCATCAGCATATGCCGTTTGCTGAATTGTTGTAAGAAGTTGTTGATCTTTCAGATGATCCAGACAACAAGGGCCTTGAATTGGATCATGAACGCTCTGATCGAGAAGAAATTTGGCTCCAAGGACAGTGCTCCTATGCTCAGTAAGTCAACAGTACTTGGATAAAACGCTGCAAGTCAAAAAGGGGAGAAAACGGAAGATACGCTAGTTGCTACAAAAACTCTCTTTTCCACAAAATCTTTATATCCCTTGGATAGGATAGATAACCTATGAAAGCTGGCTGCTCCCTCCACTCTGCAGGCACTGGACTGCTTCACATCTCCCGCCCTGCCTGCTTCACTATCGGAGGTCGGGCCATCAGCCTGTCTGCCCCCACCCTCTGGAACTCCATCCCGGAGCCCCGCTGCCTCGGCCCCTCCATTGTCTCTTTGAAGGGAACCATCTCAAGACCTTCCTGTTTGACCGTGCCTTCGGTCATCTTTCCACCTCCTCCTTGCCCTCCACCCCTCTCTGATTCCCAACCTGCAGCTCGGGTCCAAACTTCTCATTGTCCAACCTTGGGACATCCTTCCGACATGAAAGGTGCTACATAAATCCAATTTGTTGTTGTTTATTTCAGTAGTCACTGTACATTACATCTTATAGGTTGACTTAATATGCGTGTCGTAAAGCCAGAGAGAGCTCAGTTTGAGAACCATTCAGCCACTAAATACTGATGGAGAAGCAGCCTATCTAGATGTCCCAGGCTATTGTCTGAGTGTGATAACAGTCCATGTTTATTCCAATTTGAAAAATGCCATTAATAAATTGGTCATTTACTTCATGGCTGTTTGTGGGACATTACTGTGCACAAATTGGCTGCCGCATTCTCCCACAAAACACACAGATTCATTGTACTTTGTAGTATAACCTGTGAAGCACTTTGGGATATACTCCTGAAGTGAAAGGCTCTTTAACAAAAGCAATATTATTAGGATTACTAAATGAAGGATATTGCAATGTATTGGGAAGATGTCTGTATTGCATCTCTGCAAACTGTTTTTTGGAACCATAGAAATTTATAGCACAGAAGAAGGCCATTCGACCCATCTTGTCTGTGATAGCTCTTTGAAAGAGCAATCCATTCATTCCCATTTACACGCCTTTTCTATCCATACCCTACCAATTTAATTATTTGTAATTATCCCTCATGAAAGTTAATTGGATCCTTCCTTGACCACCACTCCTAGCAAGACATTCCACATCCTGACAATCCCCTGCATGGAATAATTTGACATTTTCTCCTATGCGTAAGGCACAATATAATAATTCTAATGGAATATTATACCAGGGCTCAGGATGTTAACATGCAGTATAGAAGAAATGTTTTACAAAAATGCTTTGCTACAAATCGCTATTGAAACTAAGATCATAACAATGTTAGAAATGGATTTGGAAGAATATTTGAAGAGGAACGATATAAAGGGGTACAGGGAAAGAGTAGATGTCTCCAATGGATGAGTAGACTCAATGGGTGGAATGCCCACTTTCTGTGCTGCAAATCTCTCTGATTCCCTTTCTTCTACAGATATTCCCGAAAGTAAGAGCAAAGAGCAGGAAGATTCTGATGATGAAGATAAAGACTCCAAGACTCTGCACCATGTTGATGCTCGAAGCTTCTTCTACCCCGACTCCAACATTGAGCGCTTCCCTGTGCCAGATGAGAAGGTCCCCTGGGAGGTACAGAAACCATGTTTTCAGTAGTTTGGTTTGGAGACTGTTAAGCGTGGTGATGGGTTTCCACCAGTGTTACTCACCCAAATGACCAAAAAAAGGTACAAAGTGGTGTGTTCATACATGTGTTCACTGAGGCCGTTGAGCCCATCAAACATTTTCCACCAGTTGTTTAGATTACTACCTGTGGTTTAATCCACACCTGACTCACCAGTTACAATAATTCTATCTGTTACAATAGGTGCTGGTTTGGCTCAGTTGGTATCACTCTTGCCTCTGAGTCAGAAGGTTGTGGGTTCTAGCACCACGTCAGGTCTTTGAGTTCACCACAGTCCAGGCTGACACTCCAGTGCAGTGCTGGGGGTGCGCTATGTTATTCAAAGTGATTTGAATGAGATATTAATCCAAGGACCTGTCTCCCTGTTCAAGCAAACGTCAAAGATCCCATGGCACTGTTGGAAGAGAGAAGAGAGTTTCTCTCGGTGCCTGCAAAGTGCTTTGAGATGGCATTCCAACATTAAATGTGCTATAATAAATGCCAGGATTTTTATTAGTAGAATAATCTTCTAACGTGTTCTTTACAGGTTGAATTTAGTGAGTACAACCCTCCTAATTACACATGTGAAAATGTGGATGGTGACCGCCCTAGTGGGTGAGCTACTATTTTACATTATGATTTGGGAGAAATACTTTTTTACATAAAAATACCAGAATGTATTGTCTCTGAGAAAGTCCGGATTGTAGTGTTTTATAAACAAGTGTGATCTGGCATCTCGCATCAACTGGATGCTTGGATAAATAATCTTGCCCAAAGTTTGTTGATGTTAACTAATTCATAACATGCAGGCTCGACTACACAAACTCCCTGCTTGTCGACCTCCCAAGCTCCTCCCTCCATAGGCTTCAGATCATCCAGAACTCTGCAGCCCGTGTCCTCTCCTGCACCAGGCTCTGCGACCTAATCACCCCCATCCTCGCCCGACTCCACTGGCTTCCCATCACACAGTTCAAGATCCTGGTCCTCATCTTCAAAGCCCTCCATGGCCTTGCTCTCCCCACCCTTGCAACCTTTTTACCTCTTACCAACCATCCGCTCTCTCCGCTCAGTGGGGTCTGGCCTGCTTCACGATCCCACCTCGCCCACCCGACAAATGGCGGGCGGTCCTTCTGCCACTGTGTCCCCACCCTCTGGACCTCCATCCCACAGTCCCTCCGCAGTCAAAGGCGGGATTTAAATATGGATAAAAAGTTGCGAGGAGGGATTGAGTCAGGGAATTCCGGAAGGTAGTGACCAAAGACAGGGTACTGATGGTGGAGCGAAGGGGTCAGGGGCATGCAATAGATCTGCGTTAGCTGAGCGAAAGGACCGAGCAGAGGATTGGGGTATGAATGGGTGAAATGTGTGGATATTAAATTGTGTTAGCACAGGTATTCATGAAGGTCACCTCAGTGTAACTGGGGAGTTCTTACTGATTCCTTTTTTATTTGCTTATATGTCCTATTTTAACTGCTTATGTGTTTAGTAAATACAAGTGTTTCTGTTTTTTCCAGCTCCTCTGAGCCTAAGTCTGCTCCAAATTACAACTCCATGGACAAAGGGATTGATCGGAGTAGCTTCTGTGGGGAGTACGTGATTGAAGGGGGATTCCCACAGTGAGTATAAGATAACATTTCACTTTGGGGACACAAGCCAGGTTACTTTCAGATCTTACCCCTTAAACAATAGCAATTTACCTCATCGAATGAGCCCGCTGCCCATCTGCTGAGTTTCTGGTTTGCAAACATTCCAAGTTAGCCCCTTTTAAATAAATAATAATAATAGTCACATTTGTTATAGTGCAGTGACTGTGTGTTTTGTGGGCAATTGCAGCAGCAATATCTCACAAACAGAGTTGTAGTGAGTGAGCGACTAATTTTATTTGGGGGGATTGTTGGCCAGGACACTGGGAGAATTCCCTCCTCTTTTTGAATAGTGCCATGGGATCTTTAACATCCACCTAATGGGCAGACAGGGCCTAATTTAATGTTTCATATGACGAACGGTACCTCCAACAATGCAAAACTCCCCAGCACTGCATTGGAGTGTCAGCTTAGACTATATGAATTCCACATCTCAAGGTGAACCCACAACCTTCTGACTCAAAGTGCAACCAAAGTGTGGAGTCCTGTAGCTCAGTGGTTAGAGCACTCGCTTTGCAAGCGAGAAACCTGAGTTCAATTCCAGGCAGGGCGAAACCTTGAGCAAGTTTCCTTACTCCACACTCCTAATAATAATCCCTCCAAAAACAAAAAACAATAATAAATTGGTCATTTTCAAACTACGACTGTTTGTGGGACATCTGCGCAATTGGCTGCCGCGTTCGCCCACAAATATACAGTCAATTCACTTTACAGTATATTCTGTGAAGAACTTTGGGATGTCTAGAAGACGTGAAAAGAGCTATACCAAATGCAAGGATTATTATTATTATAACCAACTGAGCCAGGCTGACACACAAGCCAGGGTTTTGACCCTTTGTCTAGTCGCTGGTTGTCTGCAATACCAGACTGTAATTCTACCACTGCATGTTTCAGGAATCCGTTGGGAAGGACTGGGCTGAGAGGTCGGGGGAAGCTTCGCTTGTTTGGACCAAACCACATGATGGATCCCATAATAACACGGTAAAAGCCTCAATCATTTGCTTTGTGCAAAATGCCCTGGGCTGTGGGGACCTCTTGCTACTGAATGCTGTGGCCTGTGTGATTAACCCTGTGTCACATTTCTTTACTCTGTGCTGCAGCTGGAAAAGAAGATCGGAAGCATCAGTCAAAGTGAAAGGCTCCAAAAATCGTCTGGAATTCCTCATTGTTCAATATCCCTGTGAAGAGTGGGGCTTGCCTGGGGTATGCACTATAATAATAATAATACTTGCATTTGATATAGCACCTTATCATGTCGTTGAGACATCTCAAAAGCACTTCCCAGGATATACTGTAAAGTGAATTGTCTGCATATTTTGTGGGTGAAATGCCTTAGCCAATTGCGCACAACAGTGTCCCACAAATAATCTTGGATTGAGTGACCAATTTATTTTTTAAAGTGATTATTATCCGCCAATCGTCTAACATCCGATTAAAATTAAAGATTAGGGATGAATGTGAAAATCCAACGTGACATGGCTGATACTGATATGTCTTCAGTGTCCTGTGGTTAGCAGCATTTGGCGAGGCAGAGGGATTAAGCAGGGAATTCCAGAGGTTCAGGGCATAGTGGCTGAAAGCACAGCTGCTGACTTTGGAGCAGAGGGAACAAGGGACATGTAGAAGGCCCAAGCCGGTCAAACGAAGAGGATGGGTAGTGAGCAGGTTTGGAGAGATGTGGAGGTGTAGAGCATGAAAGCATCAGCGCCTTGGGGTGTCCTCCCGATGTGAAAGACATTATATAAATGCAATTTGTTATTGTTGTTAAAATGAATTTGTAGGTATATTAGCTTCTCAGGTACACTGTAATGTGTAGAGACTGTGTATCTTGTACGCGATCATCTGCAATGCTACCTGTTGTAAATACTGGGGACAGTAATTTCTGCAATGTTATTTCACATGTTGCGGTGAGAGGAGGTAAAAGGGTGGGATTAGGCAGCAGAAAACCCATCCTGCATGAGTGGCTGGTGTTTTCTGATAGCGTCAGTGATTGTATTGAAATTAGTGGATGGGTCGTATTTATACCTTTGATATTTTTATGTTCTTCCCACAGGGGTTCCTGGAGCCTGGAGAGGCCACCCCAAAGAGGCTAAGACTCATTTTAAGCCTCAAAATGTTGGGGAAGATTCAGACCCTAATGAAGGAAAGCATTGAGGTATGATGTGATGTAAAGGAATGATCAGGGAAGAAGAACTCCCAAACCCCAAATTCCACAATTGTGCCTTCAAAGTTTAAGATCGTGCCAAATTGTAGAAGATTCTCAAATTTGGTCTCAGTTTCTTAATTTCTTGAGCCACTAAAGTCCTGAAACTCTGGAACTCCCTGCCTGAGTCCCTCCGCCTTGCCCCCTCTCTGCCCGTCTTCAAATCGCACCCGAAGACTTTTCTCTATGTCCGTGCCTACAGTCACCTCCCCTTTCTCCCTGGCTTGGCATCTAGCTCCACCGTTTTTAAGTGCTCTGAGTACGCCACATGAAAGGAGTTGTATAAATGCAAGGTGTTATTGTTAAGAAAGAGCCAGCCTCCAAAATAAGGCTGAATTGAAGAGTTTTCAGCAATGTTAAAAAAAAGAAGACAAAATGGTCTTCACAGGTTACGACTGGGGTAAGCATGGGGTTCAGGAGAGCCAAGAACCAATTGCCGTGCGTTTCATGGTTTGTGGTTTTACTGTATAATAATTGTATAGTTACTAGGTAAATGTGTCCTACTTTCAGGTTAAAAGGGGATATGTGGATGATCCCAGTAACACTGACAATGCCTGGAAAGAAAACCTGGCTGTTAACCTCCATCTTTGCGGTGATAATGCTTCTTTCCTCAGTTATCTCGCCAAAGATGTAAGTATGTTTTTATATATTGCTATCAATATGTATTTATTTTAAAATAAGTACTGGATACTCAAAATAATTTTCCCCCAAACCCACTATTTAATCTATTCCACTGTCTTTCAAAGTGTTTGTTCTGATTCCTAATTTGAATTTGTTGTCAGCCTGGTTGATAACACTCTCTCACCTTGGTTTGTGGGTTCAAACCCTCTATTCCCTTCTCCCTCAGGTATGCAACAAATTTCCCCTTAAATACCTTGATCCTTTTTGCTTGAACCACACCTTCCGTCAGTGAGTTCCACATTCTGACTTCCCTGTGTGAAGAGGTTCCTCCTAAACTCCATGTTAGATCTGCTACTGGCTATAGAATCACAGAATCATAGAATTATACAGCACAGAAGGAGACCATTCGGCCCATGATGCCCGTGCTGGCTCTTTGAAAGAGCTGTCCAAATGAATCCCACTCCCCCCGCACTCTCCCCATAGCTTTGCAAGTTTGTCCTCCCCAAATATCTATTCACTTTTGTCTTGAAAGTTGTTATCAAATCTGCTTCCACCTTTCAGGCAATGCATTCTAGATTCAAAATTGGTGTGCGAAAAAAAATCTCCTCACCTACCCTCTGGTTCTTTTGACAACTATCTTAAATCTGTGTACTCTGGTGACCGATCCACCTGTCGGTGGAAACAGTTTCTCCCTGTTCACTCTATCAAATCCCCTCATAATTTTGAACGCCACTATTAAATCTCCCCATAACCTTCTCTGCTTCAAGAAGAATAATCTTAGCTTCTAGAGTCTCTTCAACTATCTTATACAATATTTATTCGTTCCAGTTTTAAATCACCAACATCCATCTGATGGAACTCTTAAACACCTCTTTATCGGTCCCCTCTCAATCATCTAAATTTTAGAGAGAAAAGCTGAAAACTGCTCAATCTTTCTTGATGACTGTGCCTAGAGGAGGAAAGGGCAGGAAGAGGAGAGCTGGTTGTAACTGTGTGTCCGTTTCTCCTCCTTATAGAGAATCTCCACGAGGAGTGAATCTGGAGAGAGCTCGTCGAGGATGCTTTCTTATTTTGTGCAGGGTAAGGCTCAGCATGTGTTGGTCAAGTGGCAAGTGGTAGACCGGAGTGTCCCGGTGTGTGTGGTGTACAAGGAGCTGCTGCAGAAAGTGGCTGAAATTCAAGGAGCTCTTTTCTGACGCGGTGCTGGGCCAAGCAGGGGTTAATGGCAGACGAGATCATCATCGCAACGCAAGTGAAATATCCGCCCGCTTACAGCGTAATACTGCACAGAGCTACACACAGCCAGTCGTGTCCAACACCCTCGAGAGCACACAAACAGCGGGACAAGATCTGGGCAATAGGCTGATTTGGATTGAGGATGTGGACTTGTTTTGCTCTTGGATGCAGCAATTTAAGCCTTTAATGCAGACGCACTAAAGATTCTTCCCAGAGCGGGTGTGAATATCATGCCCTCGTGCTCCTACAATGCACAATATATATCTGTCATGTAGTTCAATGTTAAGAATTTGCAAACCTGCTTAGATTCAAATGACTCCTTTTTTAATAGACTTTTTAAAAAAATTGCCCTTATTTTATTGAGATAAAGGTAATATTGAGATAATAGTTGATATTGTGGGACTTCTACCTGATGGTAAAGTGAAAAGGACATCAGTCTTGTGACGTTAGTGCATCTTGTTAAGTAATCTATGGAGCAGAAGAAGCCAATGAACAACTGTGCATGGACTAGCCTTGAGCTATACTTACGTAATAAAAGGGGACATGCTTAGCAGTGTTACCTCACTCTGTTGTGCTTTCTCAAGAGTTGGCTATCCTTTGGGAGTCTCACCCTGTTGTGTCATTGTGTGTCAGTCTGGCTCAGCTGATAGAATCTCACCTCTGAGTCAGAACGTTGTGGGTTCAACATCAACAACAACTTGCATTTATATACTGGTCATGTGAGGTAACGTCTCGGAGCGCTTAACACATAGCATAGCTTGGCTCCAAGCCAAGTGAGACTTTCACACAGTCTAGGTTGAAACTCCATTGTACCCCATGCTGCATTGTTGGAGGTTCTGTCCTTCGGATGAGACAAAGTCCCCTTTCGGGTGCTTGTTGCACTAATCAAAAAGAGAAGGGAATTTCTCCCAGTGTCCTTCCCCTCAGATAAAGCTGATCCTTCACTTCACAGCTGTGTGTGGGACATTGCTGTGGGTAAATTGGCTGCTGAGTTTGCCTACAAATTACAATCACTACACGTTACACTATACCATGTGAAGCGCTTTGAGACATTCTCCTGATGTGAAAGGCGCTATATCAAATGTAAGGATTATTATTATTGGGACGTTTTCACTTGGGAAAAGCAATGAATTATGATTGGGCTGTTGTGAATCCTTTGCTTGAAGCTCGAAAACAATAGTAAACGTTTTTCTGCATGCAATGTTATCATATTGCTGCAATAATCTATATTATTTCCACTATTCAGCAAGTCAATAATCTGAGGGCACATTCCATTGCAGCTACAAGAAACTTCCACGTGTAGGTGGCATACGCATGTGGAAATCTCAGTCTAGCTTAAACACGCTCAAGCAAGGTAATGTGTCAGACACAAACCAAACAACTTTTTCAGAGCAAGGGATGTAATTCCACTTCATACAAGCATTGTAATGCACTTTCAGCTGTTAAATAGTTGGACTAAACTGCACAGTGTAATTTGAAATTCTTCCTCAAAGGCAACAATATTGTCTGGAGCTCTGACTGATCATCTATCTGGGCAAAAACAGAAGTCACTGGGAACACTCAGCGGGTCAGGCAGCATTAATGGAGAAAGGAAAGTGAGTCAACGATTTGGGTCCATGGCCCTTCGACATATCTAGGCAAGTCTGAAGTGTCTGAGCTGCCAATTATGCCAATTAATTGGAGCTTGTTTACAGAATGAATTAATGTAGGGTCAGTGTATTGGAGGCAATTAACAGACCTTTATAATAGGCAAGAATCCAACACTGCAGTGAATCTCTCCATCCTTCCCAGCAATGGCAGCTCACTGTATGACCAGCAGAGAGCATCAAACCCCAATAAATACCACATTCCCTACATGTAATCTCAATGCTAATTATGTGAATGGAAGAATAGAGCAATGATCAGCTCTCACAGATCAATAGAGGTTGCACCAGAATCAACTCATTCACCACAGGCACTGTGCAGCTCTCCTAGCTGTTTCTACCAGGGTAAGTGTTTAAAATTATAAAAGTGTTCAGTAACTATAGCATAAATAGACTGTTCCCACTTGCTGGGGCATCCGTAACCAGTAGACACAAGTATAATATAAATATAAGTATAATAAGATAGTGGGTAAAAGAGAATTCGGAAAGAACTTCTTCAGGTAGAGGGCACTAAGAATGTGGAGCTCGCTGCCTAAGCAGTGGTTAAACCAGATAGTACAGAAGCATTTAAGAGGATGTTAGATTACAGTAAAACTCACATAAGTTGGATCAGTTGGGGACCATAACACTTAATATGATTTACAGTAGGCATAACATTTAGAATGAGTTTCAGGCAAACTTGTGGAAATCATATAAAATCCAATTTAATCAATATTCTACACTGCATGTGTAATTCACTGTGGCTGGTAAATGCGCAAGCGTTAACGGGTCAGGACTTCATTTTATTCAATGCTACTCAAAGTGCGGAAGCGGTGTTACAAGTTAGGAGACGATTTGCTTTATAAAATACGACCAGTGCAGGACACCAGTAGAAACTCCCTTCTCTGACAATACAATACCAAATTACATTTGTATAGCGCCTTGCACGTCAGGAGGACGTCCCAAGACACTGCACAGTTAAAGATTTTGACCGGCGGGATGAGGCGGGGGGTTAGGGTTGGGGTAAGAGAGGGTGGACGGCAGGGAGTGTAGGCGGGTGGCCGAAGGCACAGTCGAAGAGGATGGTCTTGAGATGTGTCTTGGAGAAGGCAAGGAAGCGAGGCGAAGGGAATGTGCAATGGAGTTCCAAAGGGTGGGGCCAAAGAGGTTGAAGGCTCGACCGCTGATTGTGGGGTGGGTCGGGCAGGGGACGCGGAGCAGCCCGGAGCCTGCTGAGCAGAGGGAGCGGACATGTTGGTAAGGGATTAGCAGGTCACAGAGGTAGGAAGGAAACTGAAGTCTGGTGCATCTACAGCTTAGCCATTTAAACTATTTATGAATATAAGACTTACGCGAGTTTTACTGTACAAACAAGGAAGAAGAGGGTATAAGAGGGTATGAGATTTCTATTTTAGAAAGAGAGTGGGTGCTCGAGAAGGTGGGAGGTAAGGGGGATGTGAGGGTGATGACTGAAAGAGGATATGACTGAGGTTGTTTTGTTACAAAGGTTTTGAATGGAAAGAGGGAGTGTTCAAGGTGGAGGTATTTAGGGAGAGAGTTCCAGAGATGGGGGCATTGTCGAAGTTGGATTCACAGAGGGAGTGGGCAGGGGAGTAAGGCCGCATAAGATAATAATAATAATCCTTGCAATTGGTAGAGCACCTTTTCATGTCATCGAAATGTTTCAAAGCACCTCACTGTAAAATGTAGGTGATCACAGCAGCCAATTTACAAATAGCAATGTCCCATAAACAGCTGGGAGTTGGATTCTAGAGGTGTAGCGACAAAAGTTGGGAAGCTGACCAAAGGCACGATCAAACAGGAAAGTCTTGAGACACCCTTGAAGGAGGCAAAGGAAGCCATCTAATAAAAAAAAATTCCCAAATGAACTGTAGTTACAGGAACACGGAATTACGTAAGCAGGATGTGTCCCTCCAGGGAGAGTGTGCGCATTCCGTTCCAATATCTATCTCTGGATTTCCATGTATAATAATAATATTAATCCTTGCATTTGATATAGCGCCTTATCACATCGTCGAGACATCTCAAAGCGTTTCACAGGATGTACTGTAAAGTGGATTCACTGTGTATTTTGTGGGCGAAGTGGGATGCATGGAATTCCCGGTTTGGATACTCTTAAGCATGGTGATGGATTTCCACATGTGTCCGACACCTGATGAACGCCATCTCAGAGATGGAAAAGTTTTGACCAGGGTTTCTCAATCGTTGTCAAAGTGAGCCTCCCAAAGCTAAAAACATTTGCGCCTCTCCATACGATAATGAAAAGCATAGAAGAAAAAATATTGTTCTACCCATATCGCTCACTCCTTCCACTGCTCCACCCTCCTATGTTCCACCTTCATCTAACCTCTGTCTAAGTACCTCTTAATCTGCAAAAAACATTCACAATTGCAGAATTATCTATCCGTTCCCCCATATCTGCTGTTCAATGTCAGCCTGTTTTGCTCCACTCAATCCTGCCCACCCCTCCCCATACAAAGAACTGCAAATCCTGACCTGTGAGTGCTGGGAGCAGCTTGGCTGTGCGCATGAACCAAACTCACCATCGATTGGAATCTTTTTACCTGGTGGGGGCAGAAATAAATGTCCACCTCCCCGTCCCCGTCCACCTCCCCGTCCCCCCCACGATTTATTGGAAGGTTTGACTCCCTCCGGTTCCATTGCCAATTGATTTCACGATCCTTACATGTGGCATTGCGCCTTACACGTCTCAAGGATGTCCCAAAGTCGTTCACAGGGTATCCTGTAAAGTGCCATGACTGGGTCTGTTTTGTGGGCAAAATGCAACAGCCGGTTTGTGCACAGCAATGTCCCACCAACAGTCATGGAGTGAGTGACCAATTCTATTTGGGGGACAGTTGACCAGGAGAGAGAAACGTCCTTCTCTTTTTGAATCGTGCCATTGGACCTTTAACATCCACCTGAACAGGCAGACAGGGCCTCGGTTTAACGTCTCATCAGAAACGCCCCCCGAGGACTGAACTTGGCTTGAGCCATGAACTTACATAGGATAGACTCACAACCTTCTGACCCAGAGGCTGATGTTCTACCAATACTGACCCAGGCTGACAGACGGCAGACAGAGAGTTATTTATCAGTTCCAAAGAGGAACAGGCAGATAGACCTTTTGCAGCATTTCTCAATAAGAAATGTTTCACGATTGAATTTCTAAAACCCCGAAAGAGTTATTTCTCGCTGTTATGTGTCGGTTCGGAAATGTGATCGTTCCGTTTAGAACAACAATCGAAAGCTTATAATCTTTCCGTTTGATACAGCGCCTGATCACCTCTTCGAGGCGTCTGAAAAGCGCTTCACCGAATAAAGTGAATTGACTGTAATATTTTGGGGGCAAAACGAAACAGGTGTACCGCAGTCTGGCGGGAAAGTACCAATGAACCTGTCTGGGCTCGTACCCCAAGTCCAGGCTTTGAGTGTCCTGAGCCGAAGGGGAATCCGGAATTGCTCTCAGAGGATGTGATGCAGAAAATATATAACATTCCGATGCATTAATGTGGTATCTCCCCCTCACCCCCCCCACCCCTCCCTCAATCCCCCACCCCTCCACCTCAACCCCCCACCCCTCCCTCATCCCCCACCCTCCACCTCAATCCCCCACCCCTCCACCTCAACCCCCCACCCCTCCACCTCAACCCCCCCACCCCCCCCTCCACCTCAACCCCCCCACCCCCTCCCTCAATCTCCCCCCCTCCCCCTCAATCCCCTCAGCCCCCCTTCCCTCCCACCCCCTCAACCCCCACCCCTCCCTCAAACCCCCCTCAACCCCCCCACCCCTCCCTCAATCCCCCCTCCCTCCCCCCCCTCAACCTCCCCTTCACCCCCACCCCCCCTCCCCTCACCCCTTCCCCCCCTCTCTCTCTCTCTCTCTGTCTGTCACTCACACACTCGCAACACACACCAACAAATACACGTTTTAAAGAATATATATACATATATATATATATATATATATATATGTAACACCCAAAAAAAAATGCGGCAGCGTTTCGAATTAAAAAAAAATGCACGTGGGCCGCGCCTTCACGGCGGAGAGCGGCGAACCCGGAACGTGTAGAGCGCCGCAGTCTGGTCTCCATCCGGAGCTCAGAGAGGGGGCGGGAGACCCACTCACTCACTCACTCACTCACACTCCACTCCGGGGGGAGAGGGCCGGGCCGGGGGCTGCCGACAGCTCGGGGCTGACCCTGGGGTCCGATGGCGAGGCAGCAGCAGCCGACCGGAGGGCGCTGAGGGTCGCGGGGACACCGGGACTGCGGCAACCGCCGGGACACCGAACCGGAGGTGGGAGACCCGACAACAGACCGTTACCGTCCGCTCCACCGCCACCTCCTCCTCCTCCCATACCCCCACCACACCATCACACCCCCCACCATCACACCCCCCACCACCACCTCCTCCCATACCCCCCCCCACACCATCACCTCCCACACCATCACACCCCACACCATCACACCCCCCCCCTCCCCCCCCCCCCCCCCACACCACCACCTCCCCCCACACCATCACACCCCACACCACCTCCTCCCACACCCCCCCCCACCACCTCCTCCCCCCACACACCCCCCACCACCACCTCCCATACCCCCCCACCACCACCTCCCACACCCCCCCCCCACCACCTCCCCCCCCCACACCACCACCTCCCATACCCCCCCACACACCCCCCACACCACCACCTCCACACCCCCCCACACCACCTCCTCCCCCCCCACACCACCACCTCCCATACCCCCCCCCCACACCCCCCCACACCACCACCTCCCCACACCCCCCCCCACCACCACCTCCCATACCCCCCCACCACCACCTCCCATACCCCCCCACCACCACCTCCCATACCCCCCCCACACCACCACCTCCCACACCCCCCCACACACCCCCCACACCACCACCTCCCACACCCCCCCCACACCATCACACCCCACACCACCACCTCCCACACCCCCCCCCACCATCACACCCCCACCACCTCCCCCCCACACCATCACCTCCCACACCATCACCTCCCACACCCCCCACCACCTCCTCCCCCCACCTCCCACACCACCACCTCCCACACCCCCCCCACACACCCCCACACCACCACCTCCTCCCACACCCCCCCCAATCACACCCCACACCCCCCCACACCACCACCTCCTCCCCCCACACCACCACCTCCTCCCCCCACACCACCACCTCCTCCTCCCACACCCCCCCCCCACACCATCACACCCCCACCACCTCCTCCCATACCCCCCCCACACACCCCCCACACCACCACCTCCCACACACCCCCCCACACCATCACACCCCACACCACCTCCTCCCCCCACACCACCACCTCCCCCCACAACACCACCTCCCCCCCCCCACACCATCACACCCCACACCATCACACCCCCACCCCCCCCCCCACCACCTCCTCCCCCCACCTCCCACACCACCACCTCCCACCCCCCCCCCACACCACCACCTCCTCCCACACCCCCCCCCCATCACACCCCACACCCCCCCATCACACCCCACACCCCCCACACCACCACCTCCTCCCCCACCCCCCCCCCCCCCCTCTGCCCCTGACCCGCCTGAGCTGTTCTGATGCTCAAAACGGCATCGACTGTATCCGGGAGAGACAGACCGGGAGTTCACGGAGACTCAGGACTGCAACTCACTACATCCCACAGCATCTCAGGCACACAGAGCCCCCCCCATACACACACAGATACCCCCCCCACATACAGACCCCCCATACCACACACAGATACCCCCCCACACAGACCCCCCATACACACACACAGATACCCCCTCCACACACAGACCCCCCCATACACACACACAGATACCCCCCCCACACACAGACCCCCCCATACACACACACAGATACCCCCTCCACACACAGACCCCCCCATACACACACACAGATACCCCCCCCACACACAGACCCCCCATACACACACACAGATACCCCCCCCACCCCCCACACACACACAGACACCCCCCCCAACCCCCCCACACACACAGATACCCCCCCACACACAGACCCCCCCCACACACAGATACCACACACACAGACCCCCCCATACACACACAGATACCCTCCCCACACACAGAGCCCCCCCATACACACACACAGACCCCCCCCATACACACACACAGACCCCCCCCCCACACACACAGATACCCCCCCACACAGACCCCCCATACACACACACAGATACCCCCACACACAGACCCCCCCCCACACACACAGATACCCCCACACACAGACCCCCCCCATACACACACACAGACCCCCCCCCACACACACACAGATACCCCCCCACACAGACCCCCCCCATACACACACACAGATACCCCACACACAGACCCCCCCCCACACACACAGATACCCCACACACAGACCCCCCCCATACACACACACAGACACCCCCCCATACACACACACAGATACCCCCCCACACACAGACCCCCCCATACACACACACACAGATACCCCCCCCACACACAGACCCCCCCCCATACACACACACAGATACCCCCCCACACACAGACCCCCCCCCACACACACACACACAGATAACCCCCCCCACACACAGACTCCCCCCCCATACACACACACAGACCCCCCCATACACAGACCCCCCCCACACACACACAGATAACCCCCACACACACAGACCCCCCCATCACACACACAGATAACCCCCCACACACACAGACTCCCCCCCATACACACACACAGATACCCCCCCACACACAGATACCCCCCACACACACACACAGATCCCCCCCACACACACACACAGATCCCCCCCACACACACAGATCTCCCACACACACACACACATAGATTCCCCCCTCCCCACAGACACACATAGATCCCCCCCACACACACACACACACATAGATCCCCCCCCCACACACACACAGATCCCACCCACACACACACACATAGATCCCCCCCACACACAGATACCCCCCCCACACACACACAGATCCCACACACACACACACACACAGATACCCCCCCACACACACACACACATAGATACCCACACACACACACACACACAGACCCCCCCCCACACACAATCTCACACACACACACACCACACACACAGACCCCCCCCACACAGACACTCCCCCACAGACAGACAGACACTCGTGTCCTCAAAAACTCTCATCTTCCCTCCACACATCGTCCTCTGTTGTCACTTTATCTGCAAATTAACTGTTCGTTAATTACGTCGCTTCGGGTAGACTTATTTTTATTTAAAGTGTTAAATATATACACACACACACACATATATATATATATATAGAGAGAGAGAGAGAGGTGAATAACACCACACGATCATTTGATTTCTCCTCTGATCGAGGGACGAATTATAGAAAATATTGACTTTATCATTTTAATGTTTGATGTCTGTGTGTGTGTCTGTCTGTCTGTGTGTCTGTCTGTGTGTGTCTGTGTGTGTGTGTGTCTGTGTATGTGTGTGTGTCAGTGTGTCTGTGTGTGTCTGTCTGTGTCTGTGTGTGTGTGTCTGTCTCTGTCTGTGTGTGTCTGTCTCTGTGTGTGTGTCAGTGTGTCTGTGTGTGTCTGTCTGTGTCTGTGTGTGTGTGTCTGTCTCTGTCTGTGTGTGTCTGTCTCTGTGTGTGTGTCAGTGTGTCTGTGTGTGTCTGTCTGTGTGTGTGTGTCTGTCTCTGTCTGTGTGTGTCTGTCTCTGTGTGTGTGTCAGTGTGTCTGTGTGTGTCAGTGTGTCTGTGTCTGTCTGTGTGTGTGTGTGTCAGTGTGTGTGTGTGTGTGTGTTGGGGGAGGTGAGGGGGAGGGGTGTGAAGATGACAGTGAGAAGCTGTCACTTCCCCCTTTTGAGGAGAATGTGATGGTTGAAAATATTGTATCTTTTTCTTTTGGAAAACAAAGGAAAAACGGAGGGGGTTTTGTTGTGTTGAACACGAGTTAAAGCAACCGAGCAGAGAGGCAGAGAGAGAGGGAGAGGGAGAGAGAGAGAGAGAGAGAAAATGGGGACTCACATACCTGTGAGGAAAAGGATACCTAACAGAGAGCGCCTGTCTGCAGAGGACGATGCCCTGAATCAGATCGCCAGAGAGGTTAGTGTTACACTAAACACTCATTGTATCCATTTGTAAGTAACCTGTGTGGGTGTCTCTGATGATTTCCCTACAAAAAAAAATGCGACCTCTCAGTCTTGTGTTTGATTTTGGGGGATTATAGTGAGGAGAGGAGAGGTGGGGGTGGGGGGGGGGATAGAACTGAGATCCACTTGTGAAACTGACCCCTCTACCCCCCTCCCCCCCCCCTCCACCCAATGTGTCCCGCTGTTTGAGTGGGGGAGGTTTGAGTGGGGGGGAGGGGGGGGGGGGGGGGTGGCAGGAAGCTCTTTTATTTGACAGAAATTTCTACAAACTTTGGAAAGGTCTTTCGTGTTTTTTTTTAAAAAAAAGATACATATAAAAAAATATTGCACAAGGCCCCACAGGAAGGGATGGCCGAGCTGGGCTGGTTCTGCGGCGGGGTTGTTGCAAACTAGCGGAAATGTGTTGCGGAATGGTGTGCGGGTGAGGGGAAGAGCAGGGCCAGGCTCTGAGGTCTGCAGCTCAGAACGTCTTGTAACGTGCTTCTCACCTCCAACTCCCTCCTCTCCCTCCCACGCCTCCTCCTCCTCCTCCACACTCACACACTCACACAGATTGCTGCTGAGCGTTACGTACAGTACTGTATATCTCCAGTAACACGCACGCACACACACACACACACGTGGAGTACAGTAAGTCTAGATCTCCTATTCGAAAAAGAAGAAGGGGAGTTTCTCTCTCCCTGTGCCCTGGCCAACAATCTCCCCCAAATAAAATTGGTCGCTTAACTCAGTGGCCGTTTGTGGGATGTTGCGGCGTGCAGCTGGCTTCCAGATTTCACCCACAAAATCGCAGTCACTCCACTTTGCAGTGTATCCTAGAGAAGCGCTTTGAGACGTCTTGGACGACATGATAAGACGCTATACAAAATACAAGGATCATAGTAATTATTATCATCAGATCTCCAGTAATACACACACACAGAGTGTGCTGTGGATCACGTACTGTATAGATCTCCAATAATACCCACACACAGAGTGCTGAGGATTGTGTACAGTATGATAGATCACCCCCCCCCGCCCACCCACCCACCATCCCTCCGTTGCATTTAAGAGGCAGCAACAGTCCTCTGCGAGGCATGTGTGTCAATACTGAGCACATACATTCCAGACACGGAACTATACATAGAGCTGGAGGAGATCAGCTGTTATCTGCTGTGCTCCTAGGCCAGTCTGAGTAGAGTGTGAGAAGTGCACAGTAACATACTGTGTGGAGGCAACAAGCTGGCCTGAGGGCTGAAACAGTGACTCTGTTGTGAATGAGTGTGCGCGGGCGTGTGTTGTGTACCGATGTGTGCAGTACGTATGTGTCACGGGTCTATTTTAGCAAATGTATTCGGCCTATTTTTAAAGTCTGTTCGTGCTCATGTTACTCAGTAGCTGAAAGGGGACAGTCAGCATGTGAACGAACGTCTGTGGCTAACACATTGGGGCGGGGGGAGGGGGTGAGGGCTCTGTGTGTGTGTGTGTGTGAGTGAGCAGAACATGTGCACTGCTGCTGGTTGGTGGATTGTTGAGGGTCATTCTGCAGCCAGGGTGTAAAACCTGCTTCCAAAGACGAGGTCGGTATCTCGCCCGTTTTGAGACTGTTAGGATTTCCACCCCACTGCCATATCTTCCCCCCCCCTCCACCCTTTGCCCACTCAGCACCCATCCACCCACTCTGCTTTGGTGGTTAATCGAAGCGCATGTTTTTGGAGCTCGGGCGAGAGCCTCAGTGCTTCATAAGCCGATCACCTCCATCCTCGCCTGGCTTCACTGGCTCCCCGTCCCCCAGAGGATTGAGTTCAAGATCCTTGTCCTCACCTTTAAAGCCTTTCATGGTCTCGCTCCTTGCTACCGCTGTGACCTATTACAACAGCAGTAACCTATCTGCTCCCTCTGCTCTGCAGGCACTGGCCTGCTGCAGCCCCCCCCAACCCCCCGCCTTGTCTATTTCACTATCGTTTCACGTCTGCCTTTCTGCCCCCACCCTCTGGAACCATCCTGGAGCCCTTCCACCTCGCTCCCTCCCTTGCCTCCTTCAATGTTATCTCGACTTTTCTTTTCGACCATGCCTTTGGTCTTTTTCCCACCTCAACTCCCCCTCCCCCTTACCCTCCAAGCCTCTCGACTCCACCCCGCAGCTTGGGTACAAACCCCTCATTGTCCAGCCCATGGGATGTCCTCCCGATGTGAAAAGCACTTTACAAATGTAGTTTGATATTGTTGCTTGGAAATGGCCATAACAGACTGGACCTTTGGAATTTGAGCGACACTGGAGTGAGCGAGGGCCGATCTGGAGGATGGGGGCTTACATGCATGTGCCACGCGGAGCCACTGCTATGTGTCTGCTGCGGTCACTGCCACCCACACACAGACATCACCTGTTACTGTGTAATCCAATGTGGGTAATTTTAGTGCGTAACTAGAAAGAACTAGAACATTAATCCCGATATAGTGGGTCACCTTATAAATAGGCAAATTTGCCTTTGTCTGAACTTTCATTAATATTTGTTTGTTATTATTAGTGTCTGTTCACTGACCCTGGCAGATATTTCTTTTGGCACTCATTGAGGGCTACATTGTCTTTTATTTGAGATGTTAAATCGAGATCCCATCTGACTGTTCAGGTGCACGTTAAAAGATCCCAAGGCATTATTTGAAAAGAGAAGGTAGTTACTCCAGGCGTCTTGGCCGACAATCCCCCAAATTTTATTTAAAAAAGTCATTCACTTCATGGCTGTTGTTGGGATGCTGTGTGTAAATTATCTGCTGGGTCTGCCAGGCACGATATTTGACAGTAATTACTGTGAAGCACTTTGAATCATTTTGGCACTGTATCAAAAGCAACGATTATTACATTATAGGATATCACGATGCAAGCACGATTGCAAGTGGAAGTTGGGATGGGTAAAGCATTTCCTGGTGAAACATTGAGCCACACAGGCTGGAAAGCACTGTATCAGGCTGGGATACTGGTCTCTGCTGAGGGAGCTGTGTGACCTTGGCCTCTGAGGAATTCAGGCCATCTCAGCATCTCTGATCCTGATCTGAAAACCAGAGAGAACGTGTACAATAAAGGGCAGTCACAGTCTCTAATTCCCTACATTTGGCAACGTTACTGTAAAGAGGTGTTTTGATGTGCGACATAAAAGTGCAGGTCACTGTTCTCTCTTCACAGTACAACAGTTTGTAAAATTCAGCCTTAATTTTGCAGCCAGTTCTTCCCTACAATACACATACGTACACATACACAGCCGCGCCCCCCCACCCCACCCATACACTGACACACACACACACACGCTTCCCTGTAGAAGCACAGATCCACATGCAGTAGGAGGCCACTCAACTCCATTGTGTTTACTCTTCCCTCACCTCCATCATTTCAAAAATGAAGCCCACCACCTGCTCCCTCGACCCCATCCCCACCTCTCCCCTCACCTCCCAGCTCCACCTCCTGGCCCCACTTTTAACCAACATTATCAACCTCTCCTTATCCACTGGCACTGTTCCCACCCCACCTAAAAACAGTTGCCATCACCCCCATCCTCAAAAATCTTCCCTGGACCCAACCCTACTCTCCAGTTATCGCCCCATCTCCAACCTCCCATTCCTCTCCAAGGCCCTGGAACAAGTCGTCAAATCCCAGCTTCGCTCTTTCCCTTCCCGCTATTCCCTCCCTGAACCCCTCCAATCGGGTTTCCATGCTGCACATCTGTGACCAGGATTCTCTCTGCCTCCTTGTCTTCCTCGACCTCTCTGCTGCCTTCGACACTGTCGACCATTCTATCCTCCTCTCAGCTCAATATTCGTGGACCTGCCCTTGCCTGGTTCGAATCCTACCTCTCCCACTATCTCCACTTTGTTGCCACTAACGGCTTCTCCTCTAGCCCCCACACCATCACGTGTGGCATCCCTCAGGGCTCTGTCCTTGGCCCTCTCCTTTTCAATACCTATATGCTCCCCTACCTATATCATCCACAGACATGGCGTCAACTTCCACATTTATGTGGATGACCCTCAACTCTACTTCTCTGCCTCCACCCTCGATTCCAGGGCCACTGCTGTCCTCACAGACTGTCTGTCGGACATCAAGTCCTGGATGAGAGCCAAGTCTCCTGCAGTTAAATGTCAACAAGATCGAGGCCCTCCTGCTTGGCTCCTGTCAGCGCCTCCATATCTCGAGTGCTGACAGCATCTCCCTCCATGGATGCATTCTACATCTCACGGAGCCAATACGAACCTCGGAGTCCTGTTCGACCCTCAACTGTCCTTCATACCCCATATCTGTGCCATGACCTGCTCCGCCTTTCCTCACCTCTGCAAGAATGCCCGCCTCCGCGACTTGTCTCACACCGCAGGCTGCCAAGACCCTCATACACACATTCATGATGTCCAGGCTCGACTACACAAACTCCCTACTTGTCGGCCTCCCCAACTCCTCCTTCCATAGGCTGCAGATCATCCATAACTCTGCAGCTCGTGTCCTCCAGGCTCCGTGACCCTATCACCCCTATCCTCACCCGATTCAACTGGCTTCCCATCACACAGAGGATACAATTAATTTTCAAAGCCCTCCATGGCCTGGCTCTCCCCTACCTCTGACCTCCTAACCTCCTAATAACCTGCCCGCTCGCTCGCTCAGCACGCTCAGCACGCTCCCACCTGTTTCATGTCCCCAGCCTTACCGGCAACACATGGGTGGGCGAGCCTTCAGCCACTCTGCCCCCACCCTCTGGAACTCCATCTTGGAGTCCCTCTGCCTCGCCCCCTCCCTTGCCTACTTCAAGACCTGTCTCAAGACCATCCTCTTCGATCGTGCCTTCAGTCACCCTCCTCTCATCACACATGTATAGCAGTTTTGCTTAAAGTGTGCACGCAGGGTTTATGGCATGTAAAATGGTTTGTGACCTCTATCACTGAAATCACCATTCCATATTGGATCCTTTAGTTGCAAGAGTAGCTGCAACAGGT